TAGACTTCGCAGAATTAATCAAACAATAGCGCTTTTAACATTTTATATAATTTCTATAATTAAAAAAAACACACTTTGATATATCCCGAATAAACGCAACTTCCTTAATTTTATCAAATCCTTAATTTTATCAAACAGCTTGATATACATCAAGGAAAAAGAACTGTTTGTATTATTTCGTTAACTTAAAAATTATTGGAAATGAACGTACTTTATCTTGAAAAGATAATTTTTCTTCGTCTTTCAAGGAATATATCTTCTACTAATTAATGCGGATAATTTATCACGCAATAGTTCTACATATGATATTAATGTTACATTAATAATATATAATGTTACATTATGATATTAATGTTACTCGCTAAGAAAGAAGTCTTTATAATTTCATCTCGAAAAATATCGGTTTGTATAATGCTTTTCTTAATAACAAAATAAAATCTGCAGGAAGCATTTTATTTTTAGATCTTATCTTATCATATATCTTTAATTATCGGATACAATAGATACAATAAAAAGAAGCGGGATTTCACAAGATTATGTCGAGCGAGATTAAGTCGTATAGATTAAGTCGTACACGGATAAAACAGTCTAAAAAATAAACAAAAGAAATTTAATATTGAATCTGGTTGGGGTACAATCAGATTTATATACATATAGACCAACCATAATGTTTTTTCGTGTATCGAGCGTACAAGTATTTAACGAATATTTAAAATCATTTTTCTCAACCACAAAATTCCGAATGGAAAACATTTAAGTTTCGACATATTTTCTTATAGAAAATTGTTGTCTTCCTGGTTTCATTACCAGTTATAAAACATTCTTCTACAGATTTAATATGCAAACACAAACTCAAAACAGAAACAGTAGCTATCACTATAACTAATTGAAAATTATTCCTCATTTGTCGTTCGTTATATATTTATAGATTTTCACACTACTGATTGGCACGTGCCTTAAGATTAATTTAGCACATATCGTTATTGTCAGCGTTAAGATGCAAGCAATATAAAAGTATTTAACAATAAGCCAGATATAAAAGTATCTAACAATAAGCCAGGAAAATAAACCAATAGTGACTCATACTTCTCCGATAAGTTGCAGGGATTCCCCAATCTTGTAAAAAAATTAAGTGGAAAGAAATACAGACTTAATCCACTTAATATTTCCAAACCACGATAGCGACTAAGTATGCTTTATCGTGATATAAAATCAATTGAAAATTCAGAAATCACTACTTTATCATTTTGTATAGACAACACTATACCACGTGCACCGTATCTCTTTCGTAAGTGAATCTGAAACACATATAAAGTCGTGAATGGTCTTACGTTCCAGTCAGTTCCACCCTACAGTCGCCTGCAATCATGACAAGTGTATACGCTCTTCTCGTATTCGCCATTTTGGCATGTGTCGCTCAAGGTGAGCCCGAAAATTGTATAACAAAAATATCACGATCAAAATAAACAAGTGACAGTGGCAACAATGTATTTATCCGATAAATTCATATATTTTTTAGCGAGGTCGAATCCTTTTTCTGCCTTTCTTTTTCTCTGAATTTTTGTTATCGAACCTTTAATTTTCTCAAATAGCCCATGTACGTTAAAAGAAAAGAACTGTTTGTTATATTTTGTTAATTTCAAATTATGTGGAAGTGATCGAGCCCGAAATGTTAAAACATATTAAACTACTAAAATTATATAGTCACTTTCATCACAAAAATCATATTTTTTATTAATTTATCCAAAAATAAGTAGTAACGTGCATATAAAATCAAGGACTCAATAGCATATGAGACAATGATAATAACGCTTATTGCAAAAATAGTTTAACTATGATTATTTCATTGTGCGAAATTATGGTTACCAATACTAAACCTTTTGTGTTGTTCCGTGTAGCTATAAAAAAATTCTCTCCATTACTGAACATTATCGGATAAAATATCAATATACTATTTATTTGCAATAATAATAAGAATATATAAAAACATATGCCACACATACATACATATACATATATATGTGTGTGTGTGTGTAGGTTATATCCAGTGATACATGTATTCTTTGTTCTGCGCGACATTATGAAACTAATATATTTCTGTCCTTTCGCACCTTAAGGACGTCTGTTGCCTCAAATTGTCGGTGGCAAAGATGCTCCCGAGGGTAAATATCCGCATCAAATATCGATGAAATTCAGAGGCAGTCACAGATGCGGCGGATCTATTTTGGATGAAAATAATATATTAACGGCAGCACATTGCGTCGAGGGGTACGTTTTAAATATCGTTCGCGTCCATTTATATTTGTATCATCGTCCAAGTGCTCTTAATTTTTCATATCTTCGTATTAATTATTAGACTCGAAGGTTCTCTGGGCAGTTTGAATATCCACTGCGGCACTAACAAACAGAACGTACCGGGCGACATTTATTCAGTGGAATCTTTCACTATCCATAAAGACTATAGTTCATCACAGATAATTAATGACATTGCCGTGATTCATCTTAAAACATCGATAAAGTTCAACAACAAAGTGCAACCGATAAAGCTGGACACTAATAACATCGACGATGGACCTTGCACGTTAAGCGGATGGGGAGTTACGAGTGTATGTAATTGTGAATTCGTACCTCACCTGAATATGAAAGGATCATCCAAAAGTGTTTGCACATAGAAAAATACACACGTTTGATTTCTACTTTCCTAAATTGATAAAGTCATGATTCCCTCATTAATTTCTTTTCTTCAGCTTGGTGGAAGCATCCCAAATAACTTGCAAGAAATCGACTTGAAAATATTGCCCTACAGTCAATGCGCAACGTATTGGGGGATAGAGAAAAGTAACATTTGTTCTCTGACCAAATCAGGAGAAGGCGCGTGTCATGTAAGTTGTTTGTATCAATATTATATCGCGAATATCGCGAAATATTTATTTTTATTACAATATTCACACACACACACACACACACACAAATATATGTATAGTAAAAAAGAACCAAGGACTAACGACCCTTAAATGTCGATTAAACCTCAATTTGAGTTTAAATCTTTATTCGAAGACAGCTTAAACTCAGGTTAATCAACATTAGTAAATCAACGTTAGTAAAATCGAGCATAAGTCTGAAGATTACGCGGATTTTGTTTACAAATTGCATAACAGGGTCAAATTAAATAAAAATCAAGTTAGATGAATAATCTAACGTAAGAATTTCAATTCCAAAACTTTGCAGACTACGAAAGGTAAAATTGGAACGAAATTGGAACATAGTTGTGTGTATGATACAGATTAAAAATGTGTTGGTTCAGTTTTAGAACCGAATCATTAAATAAAACTTTCAGTTTGTCTTGCATAAGCAAGAAATTAAAAAGACATCGAAATTTTACTGAAAATATTTGTCAGTTCGCCGCGTATACAATTCTGAAATTGAATTTGCTCACGACTCAAAATGCTTCGTTGAATTTTTTTTAGTATATTTTTTATCACAACGCTGGCAAAAAGATGATTACAAACTATAACTGGCGCTTAATAACAGACACTTTTCTTACTGCCACAATAAACTTATCACTGATCACACTGTTGTTCCAGGGTGATTCCGGTGGACCTTTGATAGCCAATGGCGTTCAAATTGGAATTGTTTCCTACGGTCGACCGTGCGCGGCTGGATATCCAGACGTATACACGCGAGTGAGCGCTTACATACCATGGATCGATCAGCATAAGAAATAGGGAACTATTCGGTAACACTTGTAACGATAACGATATCACGGAATTCGCTTTCGGTCGATACGAGAAAACCGTTTGGTTTGATATTTATGACTTTGCAAAATTAATCATGCAATAGCGACACTGCGAGTTTTATACTTTGTAAAACAAAAATGTAATTTATAATATATCCCAAATAAATGTACTTTCAAAACTATTATGTCGAATTCCAATTTTACTTTTGAACATTTCACTCAATTTTTGTCGAAGGAACACCGCATTCCGTTACCATAAATATCAAATTACTATTACCATAAATATCAAATTACATTTTTAAAAAAATATAAAAAAGACGTCAAGTTTATGTGCTAGCTCGCACGAACTATATTGTAACTGTACAAAAGCTAATGCTTCTATAAAATGTTTTATTTATAAAATAACATATGTAAAAATGTTAATAAGAAATATTGTTGTTGTCGTTGAAAACTTTTATTTTCTACAAAATAAGTGGCATCAGGTAGTTAGGTCAATATACAGAAAATACATACAATCGTTAAAACACAAATTACAATAAATTGTGCACTTTATATTTTACATTAATTGCAGCAAACTGTTTTATAGATTTAGAATAGGAATAGACATTTTTCTGAAAGCTTACATGTTCTAATGCGAATCGGACACGTCAAGTGTTTTTGGATCTCGATTTTTGAGATTCCGACATTTTTTCGTTTTTCGGGTGTAGCTTAATTTTATTTAATTCTAATTTTTTATATTACCAATAAAAAGAAGTCAGCAGTTATTACATATACATAAAACTGTTATAACATAATATATGATATTTTCGTTTGATTTATGCTGCAATTCTAAACAGAATCGTAAATTTCGTAACTTGTTCTCGTAAAATACGTAAGAACTTATGAGTAGATTTACAATCCTATGCAATATCATATGTCGTACAATTACTCGTAAATATCTACGATTTCATGTAATTTACAAGTGATTATACGACACATGATATTGCATAGAATTGTAAATCTACTCATAAGTTTTTACGAATTTTACGAGGACAAGTTACGAGATTTACGATTCTATTTAGAATTGCAGTATTAATTATTTTATATTACGTATCTTTTGTAAAAAGAAAAAGAAGGAGAGAGAAAATAAAAATTTAAATAATATTATCTTTTAACGATTTCATATTTATGTATAAATCTGTATGTAAAATATTTTATATGAAAACATCTTGAATAGTAAAACTACGATATCGCAGAAATTTTATCATAATTGAGTAAAATTTTAAAAATGTTATTATTATCGACAAGTAGTTTGTCGATTGTTTGTTATTATCACGAATGACTTATAAACGTCTATACAGAGAACACTTAGATATCTATTAATTCGCGCACCCGTTCTATCAGTGTCGTAAGATAAACGAGAGGCAAACAGTTTTACGTTCTAATTAATACTTTTAATCAACGCCACGTGATACGAATCGATATAAATTGAAGAGACCGCGATCGCAGTAACACAATGTTTATTACAATGAGTGCTTTCGCCGGTCTCATAATCGCATATTTAATTCTCTACACTAACGGTAAGTTTATCAAGTATTTTTATTTTTTTAAGTGTTTATATAAAGAATATCTATTAAATATTTCTCCATTAAAGAGCCAGACGACACGAAACTCCAGTGCGTCTCGTGAAAATTGAATTCGCGTAAATAAACCAATTTCCTGAGCACAGTGATTTTCATCGACAGGTTTGCCGAGCCCGTTTATTATTGGTGGCAATAATGCTTCAATCGTCCTGTTTCCTTATCAAGCATCATTGAGATATAATGACAGACACTTTTGTAACGGAGCTATCATCAGCAAGAATTACGTCATCACCGCTGCACAATGCATTTACGGGTTTGCTCTTTCTCTCTTTTCTCTTTCAAATCATTAATATTTAATAACGTTAACGGACGTTTACGTCGCCTAGACTCGCTTGTAAATCGCCCGAACGCGAAATGATTGTAAACTCCTCGAATAAATATTACATTTATGTTACAGCTATATCGCAGCTTCTCATGAGATTGATTTGTTGTTACAGTAACATTAATCCATTCATGTATACCGTCGCGGTTGGAAGCAGTAATCTCAACACGCCCAGTGCTGTATATTCAGTAATGGAAATAGTAGTACACATTGGTTACAATAAAGCGCGACATATTCACGACATCGCTTTAGTTCGCATAGAGAAAGATATCCAGTTTGACGAAAAAATCCAGCCCATTGCCTTACCAGACATCGATCAAGATTACGATGATTACCCTCTCATGGTTACAGGCTGGGCAATGAACAACGTAAGTATGAGACCCGTCATAAAATTTAAATGATAGAGTAACTGACCTTGACAAATCTATCATTTACTCCTGAGACCTTTTAAGAAAGAAACAATCTATTATCTATTATCATATCTGTGATATCTCAATGATTCTTTAAATCTATCTTGAGATAATACTGTGAAGAAGTTTAGCCACACGAGAGTCCAAAGATAAAAAGATACGAATAATTTCGGTGAAGTTGTAAAATAATACACTATAATAGTATTTGTGCTTTTACATCTAATCTGTTTACTTATCGTGCATTAATCAAAACGACTAACTTCTAACTGAAAAGTTAGAAGTAAATCAACAAAAAAATAATTTTTTTTTTCAGGTGTCTTTTTATCCTTACCCGTTGCAAGAAATTTTAGTCAAAGGATATTCTCAAGAAGATTGCAACCGTGAATACGGTTTTATCCAAGAAAGTCAAATATGCACTAAATGTGTGCAAAACGGTCAGGGGTTATGCAACGTGAGTAAAATAAATAATATGTAATAACATTTAATCTGTTACAACGTCATAAAAAAGTTTGTTGAACATGTCGCGTAATCGCCGTTGTCATCTTGAATTAACATCAAAAAGCCAAAATCTAGTTTTGTCGTTCGAATATTTCAAAAGTAATCTTTATTTTATTTTTAATGATAGAAAATAGCTTCTTCTTATATAAAAGTAGTTTCGATATCATGTAGAAACAGATATTTTTGTGATACGCCACATAAGATTACTGAGTTCAAAAGAATTGATAACATATATCGATGAGAAACTTCCACAAAGATCAATATGTTAAATAGACTTATTTCGACAGGGTGATGTCGGCGACCCAGTGGTTATTAATGGTGTTTTAGTTGGCCTGGTGTCACACGTACGTTGCGATTATACGTATCCAGACATATCCACCAAGATATTCCATTACAAATCGTGGATTGATGAAAATATGAGGAACCAATGATAAAACAATAATACCAGCGATACTCTTATCAAACCAACGTCATTCTTAAATTTTTGTTGCATATTTGGTTTGTAAGGTTTCTCGCGAAAATCGCGTTTACGTTCAGATCTATACATATACATGTATACGTAATTTTTGTACATTAATTACTTTATGTATACTTTTATGAAACATAAATTGACATAAAAAATTTAACAGATTAATTATCAAATATACCAGAATCAAAATGAAGTTTCGTATTATTATTCTATCTCTCTTATAGAGTGAACACTTTATATTCATGAAAAAGATTTCCCATTGAAGATTTCGACTTCATCGACTTTTAACGCAGCTTAATGTCCACTTTGACGCAAACATAAGAACCGATGTGGTTTTTGTATTTATGTGATTACGCTACTTGATCCAGTGCTGGGATTCTGTAACTCGTTATTGGAGTTAACGACAGTTTCATTATCATTACGCAGCTCTTCTACGGTACAAAAGCTACGCAACAATAACGAAACTGTCGTTAACTCCAATAACGAGTTACAGAATAGGGTTACTGATCATACAAGAAAATGTCTTCGCGTCCACAGGAAGCGTGGTAATTTGTTATTTACAATGATTTTTGTTTCAAGCTACTACGATGTCTACAAGTAGAACTATTAACGTTTGTATCGAGCCGCGCGCTTATAGGTCGCGGTAGGCCAGTATTAACCCTTTCGCGCGCTTTGTGGTAGGTCGCGACGCAACGTGTGACGTAAGCAGTAACCGCATTCCGCGATGCTATTTTAAGAAGCGATACGTACGTGGTGGTATACGAATATGGTTTGCCACCCCCACTCCGCAGCCTAGACAAGGTCGTGCGGTTATGTGCTGCCACCACGCATCGTTCGCGTGAATAAGTTCGGATAGAGTCCACTTGACACCCTGCAGATGCTTCGAACGCTCTATAAACCAACTACGTCATGCGAAAAATTTGAATATTTTTTATTTTTCCTCCACTTCGTCACATTTCGTCACAAAGTTTGAGCCTCCAATATTACGTGATATATGATTCGGGATAACACATTAATATCCGCACTTTGGCCTCTGTGTTTAAAAAAATTGATATTTTAAAATTTAAATTTAAATTATTAACACACGAAATAATTAATTATAAACACACGAAATAATTAATTATTTTTACATAATATATTTTTGGATAATAAAATTTAGATATATAGAATACGTGTGACATTTTATGACTTTTATCTTCTTCTCTATTGCCATCACGCGAGCTAATAGATGCAACTCACCAAATAGAGTAACACGATCTCTCATTTGTGATAGAATTGCTTAGATTCTTTTTCTCGTCTCGTCCATTAACACTAGCGAGATTAATATTGTTACTGTGCTGTGTACTGTGTGCAGATATCGTAGTAAAAGAGTAATTTATAATATATTCTCAATATTTATAAATTACATCGTTATACAAAATAATCGTAAGATATAAAGCCAATTGTAAGATATAGCCTATGAGAATAAAGCCAATAGTTGTATGAGAATAAAGCTCACTGAGAGCTGAACAAGAGAGTACTCTGCAAAGCTTGCAGTTGCAATAATTATTAAAATATTAATTTAAAAAATGTGGCAAGGCAGTGGGACGAGTCGCGTAGCCTCTCAGTCCTATCTAAATCTTGTACTCAGTTCTGTTCACAGTTCTGTATGAGACTAGATACACACGTGTATGTCGTGAATTTATAAATATTACCTCTGCACGTTCGTTTATAGAATTATCAATATCGCGGTTTTCGTGTTTTCTTTATAAACGGTGGATACGCGTTATATCCGATGGATGGAAGATAATTTCCGCACTTAGGGAAGTTCTTTGGCACCGGCGGAAGGTCCTTTCGTTCGCCAACTTTTACCACCATCTCCATGCCGACCATTTGGTGGTAAATTAAGTGACAATGGAACAGCCAGTAGCCTAAAGCAAAAATTGATTAAAATCTCATTCATATCTTCATTCACGACATTGCATTTTTTAAAATCGCATAACACAAGAATTGCATTTTTGTGTAATTCGTAGTTTCTAAAATGTTATCTTGCAAAAACTTGTATCTTAGAGTTTCATCTTTAAATACCTACGATTCTCTACTGTATTTTCCATTACATATCAGAAGATTCTTCCCGAAAGACTTACCAGGATTGTTCGCAATGAAGCGAATCACAACATAGCCGTTATACGGAATCGCCACGGTATCTTTCTTCACCGGCTTGTCAAAACACCTATTGACTTGATCCTTCTCGTCCATTTCCCGCACAATTTTCCAATTAATGCTGCTCACATTCTCATCTATAGCTCGTCCCATGCCCATTACATAAAACGCATGTCCGTGCAAATGGAAAGGATGGGACAAATTGGTCGCTTGTACTACAACCAAAAATGAATAATTCATGAAAAATGACTTAATATTTCTTTCATGTTCTTCTCGCGCGCAATATGAGTGGTTTACTCGATTGAACTATCTACATGTACAAAAAATATATATAAAAGCCATGTTTTACTTGCTACTAAAAAATATATAAAGCTTGTTAAAATCAGTGAGAGATAGTTCCTTTGTTAGTTGGACATCTTTAAAAATCCACGATGCATCATGGCCGAATTCGTCTAGAAGGAGAATAGACTCCAATAACAATGAAAAGTAGAATACACTCACATTCGTCGACTAGCAGTATCTCGACCACCGAGTCGTTCGGAATATCCAACGTATGTGTGCAAGTGCACACGTCATCCTTGCAATAGTCCTGTAGCGTATCTCTGTTACAGTACTGATTATTCGACATGTCCATAGGCTGAGAAAGGGGTGGTGAAGGTGGGAACGTGAACGATATGCCGTCGATTAAGGCGTTTATGGGAGATTCACCTTTTGCAACTGTAAAAAATCAAAATATTTTGCTAGCTGTTCTATTCATAGGTCTTATTTGTACACTCATACTTTTTAACCGCGATATTTGTCAATTAATTTTTCGCTGTGTTCCTTCATCCTTTGTACTCATTAAGAGTTTAAATTAGAGACTGATAGCGCTCGTATATAACACCCTGTTTGTGTTTTCGTATAACGATACATTATTTCTGACATTTACTTCCAAATTTTACTTTGCACAGAATACTCATTAAAGCTTACCCATAAATTTACGATAGTAATTAGGTTCGAAGACTTCCTGTTGCGTATATTCCTCGAAACCGACAGGTAAGTAGAATTTCAGGTCAGGCTCCTTCTGAAGAATCCTTTCGTCTATCTCGTTTTTGCTGTCTAAATTGCTGACGCAAATTGTATCGTCCAGTGGTACCTCGCAAGTTGCGTTTAACGCGTTCAACACCTATGAAGAATTGAACGAATAATATCAGTCATCAAGAACTGGTTAAAGTGACAAGACTCTCTACATTTTTTAAGTAAAATTCCGCTTATAAAGTAGAGTAACAGTCGAATCACTTGAATTCAAGTCGATTTTTCACTTATATAGAATAAATACTCTACTTTAGGTCGTCAAGTGTAAATATTTTCATTCGAAATTATACTTACAAGACCCTGAGGGAGACCTTCGTCGTAAGTAGGATGCGGTTTCGGTTGGTTGGATGCGCCTTCGTAGCGCAGAATGGCTAATTGTTGTATACCATCCTTGGTGCATCCACCCATGCCGCGAACTTGTATCCAATAAGAGTCAACGGATTTGTTGGTGTGCAAAATGAAATCATAACGTTCGCCTGCAATGTTAAATCCAATGTTAAATCCAATTATTACTATACCGAGGTTTTCGTTGCATAAGCGATATAACTATTTAAAGTGCAACGCGTCGCGCTTCATTTAGTAAATTAACTGTCGGCTTCTACGTTAAAACGTAACATAATGTATTGTAGCTTGCTTGGACAGAAATAGTGACTCATTAGCTCATGATATTGCGAATTAAACGAACTTTATATAATGAACTGTACTACGAAGACTGACAAAACGATAATAATGCAATACCTGCGAACGATGTGACGGAATCCACCGTTTTCGGCTCGATGTCTTCACCGTCTGTGGCAATAATGGTAATCTTGTGATTTTCTATGGTGAACATACCAGGGCATACCGTGCAGAACGCGTTGACTAAACGAAAACGATATCGTTTACCAGGTTTCACGTCGAACACTTGCAGCGTGGTGTTCGTCGTATTCCCGGTCTGTAGATCCTTTAGTAAAAAGCATGCTCATTAACACGTCAGCTGCTAATCACCGATTATACGGTATAAGTAACTTCAGTCTGATGGATTATGAACAGTTACAGACAGTGTAGAGATCAAATGAGAAACAATGTAGACACCAACTATATTAAAAAAGACAAAGGGATAAGTAGAACGAACGTTATCGAGATACAATCAAACCGAATAAAATAAATAGAAGATAAAATAAACCGAAGAAATAAATAGAAAATATGTCCTTGTCCACAACCTTGCTTTAAGACGTAAGTCGTAAGTCGTAAGAAACTGACCAACCATAGTTAATTTTGAGAAGAATAATCAACTATGGTTGGTCAATTTCTTACGGCTTACGTCATAAAGCAAGGTTGTAGACAAGGGCTATATCTTCAACTTTTATTTAATTAACATTATTTTGACTCGTAATTTCTTAAAAGAGATAAAATTCTACTGTCTTACTTAATCCTGAAGAAATAAATTCTACGAATTTCAAACTCACCGTGAATTGCCCTTTGCCGTTGATGAGTATCGTATCCGGTAACTGGCCAATGTTTGAAAAACGTCTGCCTGGGAAGTAATTAATCGCTTGATTGTGCATCCAATCATTTATTATGATAACGTGGTTGGAAAGATCGTAGTCGTACAGATGACTGTGATAATCTTCCTCGGGCGGTTTACGCACGACAAGGCCACCGAGAATTCCGTCCATCTTCTGTAGACCGCTGTGCGCGTGCCAGAAATGCGTTCCAGCGTTGTTCGCAGTCCATTGATATCTGTAATAGCAAAAGAACATGACATCCTTCAATATTTCATACATAGATATTTGCCACAGTGTAAAAACACGATGTACTTTCACATTTTACGAGTTTTTAAAAGCCTTCTTTTACAAGTTGCTATCACCCATTTCTTACATGCATTTTACATAAACAAAATAACCATAACAATAAAGATTATATTTACTATCATTACCACAACGAATAAAAATTAATAATGCCGTTACCTTCCATTACATTGTACTACTGAAAATAGTAACAGCAAGAACGTTATAAAGAACGTATTATTTTCCGACTTTCGCCCCAATTCGACCAATGCTTAATCACCTGAATTTATCACCATTCAAAATGGGACACTGCGTCAAGAATGGAACACCGTCGTAGTATTGAAATCCTTTTTGAAGAACTCCATGCCAATGGATCGACATGCCGGTACCGGACATGCGATTCTCGACATCGATCACCACGTGGTCGCCTTCGCACACTTCGATGGATGGTCCTGGCAACTGTCTATTCACAAGTTGGGCGGAACGCTCGACACCGTCACCGGGCACGCATTGGCAATCACTGCAGAAATTATTCGTCGCACCGGGAGTGCACAACTCGCAAGCCCTTCAAGAACATTGAGAAGCGTATTATTCGTCTGTTTTTCTCTGAAATCTTACGAAAATATCGCGCGGACTAATCGCTTGAATTTAGTCGGGAACTCGAAAAAGTTCGTCAATTGCAACATCGCTGATCGTGACGACTTACAGTCCGTTGACCTGATAATTCTCCACGACGAAATTATAATAGCAGATTTTACGATCGTCTTTACGACACGTGCGAGCGCATTGGACGGGGCTCGACATTGTGGTGTTCGGGATAAGCAAATACGGTAGGCAGAATCTCTCGTCGATAGGTCTTAGGTTGTCCAATCCAGCGACAATGGACTTCCTGCTGCGCATATGTCGATACTTGAGATTGTTCGGATTGCTCTCTGGATCATCTATCGGCCTTATAGGCGTAATCGTCTTTGGGTGAGTCAATATAGGTATGTTGTCATAATACGGAGTTCTCGGCGCATCCTCATGATAGTAAAAACGATCTGGTTTTCTCTCCTGTGATCTTTTTATGTAAAACGGAGATTCTATCACATCGTCGTACAACTCTGACAAGAAATCGTATCGATCTGCAGCAAAAATACATCACACTTTCATTTAACATATTTATACTTGTGACTTTCAAAGCGCAATAAAGTCAAGATGTTATCTCATAATTCTATCTTAAATCAACGAGTCTTTATCGTGAATTATGCAGAGGCCGATCCCGTTGTACACGCGATTATTCCAGAAGATAAAGACGCCTTTTTAAACGTCTCGAGAAAATTGGTCATTTAGAAAGGTAAAGTAAGTCATACTTCTCTAGTATCCTACTCAATTCTTATTGAAAATAAATCGCCAAAAAAAAGGAAAAACGTACCACAAGAAACAAATGTCAGATACAGCAACAATACTCGCGTTGCAAGCTGCATTGCGACTAATACGATCGGCAATCGTGCGGAATACAACAATATGGCTCTTATATGACTTTCTCATATATTTGTTTTATAATTCAGTTGAATGAACATGAATTTAATACAGCTGAGTACATACATATTCCAGTGTGGACCGAAAACTCTGCTTTCTACAAATCCTCTGTTATTTGTACATTACACACTCCAGATTGTTAACACGAAGCCGACGGGATGATAATCACCGGGACAATATTCACCTATATTCTCCGTCTGTCGTGGTGTACATACATCAATAAGTCGGCCGTTTATCAAGAAAATGTTGTTAAATATCGGGATGCTTTCGAGTCGAGTTAAACTGATAATGCTTACCCGCAAATTGATAAACAAATTGTGTACGAGGAAACATTCCCGATTCAACTCATTGGCGCTTTCCGTGTGAGTAATAAAATATAGTAGTTCCGGATATAGTGCTTGTGCAAAATATTATTGAAGTCTGAGCATTATGTGTTTTCACAAATACTGAAGTCTCATAAAGTGTCTCGTTCTTATGCATATAATCTTCACATTTACGCGCAACGCAGAAGTATTCACAAGGTATTAATTATAGTTATAAATGTTATAAAGATGAAATTCTCTCAAAAAGTACTCAACTCAATTCGTCAATTTGCGATCGGCCTATAAATACACAGATTGAAAAGACAGTTTAAGAAATGGTAACTTCTGAATTAGATGCCAAAATTAAACAGATTTTTGGACAATATTTCTTGTTGAATTGAGTAAGATATTTTGCTATGCACAAAAAATCTGAAATCTGAAATTTGTTTTATGTTAAAATCCAGTATTTACCTAATCGATTATCTTACAATATTACAGATTACAGATTCATACTCTTTAACAATTACTAATTATTATAATATAAATCTCAAATTATTTGTATCAGGTACGGCGAGTTGTAAAGTTAAGCTATAACTAAATCCTTTCGATAACATATTTGCTGAGTACATGTACAGATATAGTCAATAGAATAAAGGGTGCAATATTTTACCTCGATGAGCTTTGACATGCATAAGTATCAGAGGAGGAATTGTTTTTTTTAGTAATTCTGAGGAGAGATAAATTTTTTTATCCTTATTATCTATTATTAAATTTTATTATCGAATTTATCATGAAGTTTATCGAAATGAAAATGTAACTTCTTTCTCGCCGATTGTAATATAACTTTAAGATTACAATTTCGCTCTATTCGTACATCCCGTAAGAGAAAGCGCGGTATTCATTACGTTCCATCTGACTTATTGCTATACGGATATTCAGAGACATAACATAGTCTGAGATCTATTAAAGGAGAAATAATCAACCCGAAATATAAAGTGACTCACATCACAGTAATTTTTTCTAAGGCAAGAGGACGAAAGTATCAACCGTAAAAATTATGCTGAGTTATCTTTGGCAAGAAATTCCCACACCGCGGAAAACCTCGCGGAACAGGTGGTACGTCGGATCGGTTTCCAACGCGAAATACGTTGCCCATACTCGTCGCCAGATTGTTAAATAAAGTGGCAGTGAAGGAGCCAATAACCTGAAAATAAATAGTTGGTTGAAATTCGCCTGGCTGTTAAGTCAAACATGAAAATTAAGTGTTTGAAATTTAAATTTTCTATCATTGTTTTAATACAAACTATTTTTTCGAACAGTCCATTTAATATTCTACTCGCGTTTTAACATTTCAGCCACTTTCAATTCGTAGCGCAAAAGTGTTTAAGATAATTGTATTGTAAATAAATTTCTTAGGAACTTCCTTTAAACTACATATCGAAATGTTACCTTAATTGCATGCACAATTGAAGAAAGTATAGCAAGCTTTAAAGTCTTGAACAGTGATATAAAAAGATGCTCACCAGGATTATTCGCGCGGAAGCGTACAATTACGTAACCGTTATTTGGCACAGCTATAATGTCTTTAAATGGTGCCAAGGGTCTCCTTCTACGTATAAGGCCTCTTCTGTCCATTTCTTTTATTTCTTCTACTGTAACTCCGGTTCCGTTGTTGGGCACGTCGGAATACATGATATTAAAAGCATAGCCATGTAAATGAAACGGATGATGCAGTCCGCGTGCTCTAGCTAAAAGGAAAATGCAAAAATAATGCAACAACTTCCTAAGTAGCAGGAAAATCGGAAATGTTATTGCGTTGGAAGTATTCTTATTATGCTAACCACAATTCAGTCGCGACATTATGCAATTGTAAGTGCGAAACTACAAAAGTATTCAGTGATAGAAACGTGTCTAAGTATTGGTGATTTTATCTTAAATAATAAACAGAATAAAAAGCGTGCTTACTTTCATCGACTATGATGAGTTCAACGATGCCGTTGTACGGAATGTCTATGATATGCGTACATATACATGGATCGCCGCAATTGTCCGGTTTGTCCATATCATTGCAGATTATTTCAGGTGCTATATCTTCCAACTGCGAAAGTGGCGGCGAGAACGAGAAACGCAATAAAATATTGTTGATATACGAAAGCATATGACGACCGCCAGGCGCATACGAACAAAATAAAATGTTATTGAGCTCGGTGTCGTAAAGTGAAAAATTTGACTTAGCAAGATGCTCCAAACACAATAGGGTTTGTCGATTAATCGAAACCTGATTTTTTTCTGAAGTATAATTCTATTGAGCGGAGCAAATCTTACCTAGAAATTTGTCGAAAGAGTTGGGTGCAAAGAGTTCCTGAATATCGTACACGAGAAATCTAAACGGTAAATATATCTGCACGTGTGGTTTTCTCATATAAATACTCCTGCCAACTCATTCCGTAATTCCACTTTGTAAAATGCTGACACAAACTGCGTCATTTCTTGGTTGATTGCATTGAGAATCAAGTGGATTTAATACCTACAAAGACCATCATTAAGATATGAGAGAGAGAGAAAAAGATTTAAGTAATTAAACGAGATTAAACTGAATGGAGATAATCATTTGCGTGCAAATAATCATCTGCAACTTTTGTCTAAATTATTCACAAAGAGAGTTAAGTATATAAGCACTTACAATCCCTTCAAGGAGCGGAGAGTTAAAACTGGGCATAGATGTCGCCGGTTGGTTTAATGCACTATCGTACTGGAGTATAATTAGCTGTATACTATCTACGATTACTACGACTATCTACGATTTCATGTAATTTACGATATGTACAAGTGATTGTACGACATATGGTATTGCATAGAATTGTAAATCTACTCATCAATTCTTACGAATTTTACGAGAACAAGTTACAAGACTTACGATTCTGCTCAGAATTGCAGTATTAATTACTTTATGTCCCGTAACTTTTGTAAAGAGAGAAAGTGGGAGAAAGCGAATAAAAATTTTAATAATATTATATTTTAACGATTTCATATTTATGTATAAATCTGTATGTAAAATATTTTATATGAAAACATGTTATCTTGAATAGTTCAGTTTGTTAGTTTGTTATTATCACGAATGACTCATAAAAGTGTATACAGAGAACACTTAGATATCTATTAATTCGCGCACCCGTTCTATCAGTGTTGTGAGCAAACGAGAGGCAAACATTTTTACGTTCTAATTAATACTTTTAATCAACGCTACGTGATAAGAATGGATATAAATTGAAGAGACCGCGATCGCTGTAACACAATATTTATCACGATGAATGCTTTCGCCGGTCTCATAATCGTATATTTAATTCTCTGCACTAACGGTAAGTTTATCAAGTATTTTTAATTTTTTAAGTGTTTATATAAAAGGTATTAAATATTTCTCCATTGAAGAGGCAGAAGACACAAAACTCCAGTGCGTCCCGTGAAATTTGAATTCGCGTAAATAAACCAATTTCCTGAGCACAGTGATTTTGATCAACAGGTTTGCCGAGCCCGTTTATTATTGATGGCAAAAATGCTCCAATCGCCCTATTTCCTTATCAAGTTTCATTGAGATATAAGGACGAACACTTTTGTAACGGAGCCATCATCAGCAAGAATTACGTCATCACCGCTGCACAATGCATTTACGGGTTTGCTCTTTCTCTCTTTTCTCTTTCAAATCATTAATATTTAATAACGTTAACGGACGTTTACGTCGCCTAGACTCGCTTGTAAATCGCCCGAACGCGAAATGATTGTAAACTCCTCGAACAAATATTACATTTATGTTACAGCTATATTGCAGCTTCTTATAAGATTGATTTGTTGTTACAGTAACATTAATCCATTCATGTATACCGTCGCGGTTGGAAGCAATAATCTCAACAAGCCCAGTGCTGTATATTCAGTAATAGAGACGGTAGTACACATTGGTTACAATAAAGCACGTCATATTCACGACATCGCTTTAGTTCGCACAGAGAAAGATATCCAGTTTGACGAAAACATCCAGCCCATTGCCTTACCAGACATCGATCGAGATTACGATGGTTATCCTCTCATGGTTACAGGCTGGGCAATGAACGACGTAAGTATGAGACTCATCATAAAATTTAAATGATAGAGTAACTGACCTTGACAAATCTATCATTTACTCCTGAGACCTTTTAAGAGAGAAACAATCTGTTATCGTATCTGTGATATCTCAATGATTCTTTAAATCTATCAGTATCAGTATTATCTTGAGATAGTACTGTGAAGAAGTTTAGCCACACGAGAGTCCAAAGATAAAAAGATACGAATAATTTCGGTGAAGTTGCAAAATAATACACTAGTATTTGTGCTTTTACCTCTAATCTGTTTACTTACTGCGCATTGATCAAAACGACTAACTTCTAACTGAAAAGTTAGAAGTAAATCAACGAAAAAATAATTTTCTCTTTCAGCTGTATTTTTATCCTTACAAGTTGCAAGAAATTTTAGTCAAAGGATATTCTCAAGAAGATTGCAACCGTGAATACGGCTTTATCCAAGAAAGTCAAATATGCACTAAATGTGTGCAAAACGGTCAGGGATTATGCAACGTGAGTAAAATAAATAATATGTAATAACATTTAATTTGTTACAACGTCATAAAAAAATTTGTTGAACATGTCGCGTAATCGCCGTTGTCATCTTGAATTGACATCAAGAAGCCAAAATCTAGTTTTGTCGTTCGAATATTTTGAAAGTAATCTTTATTTTATTTTTAATGATAGAAAATAGCATCTTCTTATACAAAAGTAGTTTCGATATCATGTAGAAACAGATATTTTTGTGATACGCCACATAAGATTACTGAGTTCAAAAGAATTGATAACATATATCGATGAGAAACTTCCACAAAGATCAATATGTTAAATAGACTTATTTCGACAGGGTGATGTCGGCGATCCAGTGGTTATTAATGGTGTTTTAGTTGGCCTGGTGTCATACGTACGTTGCGATTGTACGTATCCAGACATATCCACCAAGATATTCCATTACAAAGCGTGGATTGATGAAAATATGAGGAAGCAATGATAAAACAATAATACCAGCGGTACTCTTATCAAACCAACGTCATTCTTAAATTTTTGTTGCACATTTTGTTTATAATAATTTTCTCGCGAAAATCGCGTTTACGTTCAGATCTATACATATATATGTATACGTAATTTTTGTACATTATTTACTTTATGAATACTTTTATGAAACACAAATTGACATAAAAAATTTAACAGATTAATTCTCAAATATGAAAACCAGAATCAAAATGAAATTTCTTCGTATTATTATTCTATCTTTCTTATAGAGTATTTTATATTCGTTAAAAGATTTCCCATTCAAGATTTCCTGTCGACTTTTAACGCAGATTAATGTCCACTTTGACGCAAACATAAGAACCGATGTTTTTCGTATTTACGTGATTACGCTACTTGATTCTCATCCCACAGGAAAACGACTTCGCGTCCACTGGAAGCGTGGTACTTTGTTCTTAACAATGGTTTCTGTTTCAAGTCACTACGATGTCTACAAGTAGAACTATTAACGTTTGCATCGAGTCGCGCGCTCATAAGTCGCGGTAGGCCAGTATTAACCCTTTCGCGCGCTTTGTGGTAGGTCGCGACGCGACGTGTGACGTAAACAGTAGCCGCATTCCGTGATGCTATTTTAAGAAGTGATACGTACATGGCTGCGTCCAGAAACCCTACTCGGTGAGTAGAGTAAATTTAACTAGTCAATCAGAGCAAAAGGAACTGAGATTTATTTATTATGATTGATTTATTAAAATAACTTTACCCATCGAGTAGGATTTCTGAACATAGTGATATGATGGTATGCGAGTATGGTTCGCCACCCCCACTCCGCAGCCTAGACAAGATCGTGCGGTTATGTGCTGCCACCACGCATCGTTCGCGTGAATATGTTCGGATAGAGTCCACTTGACACGCTGCAGATGCTTCGAACGCTGTATAAACCAACTACGTCATGCAAAAAATTTGAATATTCTTTATTTCTCTTCCAATTCATCACATTTCGTCACAAAGTTTGAGTCCCCAATATTACGTGACATATGATTCGCGGATAACACACTAATATCCGCACTTTGGCCTCTGTATTTAAAAAAATTGAAATTTCAAAATTTAAATTTAAATTATTAACACACGAAATTATTAATTATTCTTACAGAATATATTTTTGGAAAATAAAATTTAGATATATAGAAGACGTGTGACATTTTATGACTTTTATCTTCTTCTCTATTGCCATCGCGCGAGCTAATAGATGCAACTCCCCAAATAGAGTAACACACGATCTCTCATTTGTAATAGAATTGCTTAGATTCTTTTCTTCGTCTCGTCCATTAACACTAGCGAGATTAATATTTTTATTGTGTGCAGATATTGTAGTAAAAGAATAATTTATGATATATTCTCAATATTTATAAATTACATCGTTATACAGAATTATCGTAAGATATAACGCGTGCCAATAGTTGTATGAGAATAAAGCTTACCGAGAGCTGAACAAGAAAGTTTTCTACAAAGTTTACAGTTGCAATAATTATTAAAATATTAATTTAAAAAATGTGGCAAGGCAGTGGGACGAGTCGCGTAGCCTCTCAGTCCTATCTAAATCTTGTACTCAGTTCTGTTCACAGTTCTGTATGAGTCTAGATACACGCGTGTATGTCGTGAATTTATAAATATTACCTCCTGCACGTTCGTTTATAGAATTATCAATATCGCGGTTTTCGTGTTTTCTTTATAAACGGTGGATACGCGTTATATCCGATAGATGGAAGATAATTTCCGCACTTAGGGAAGTTCTTTGGCACCGGCGGAAGGTCCTTTCGTTCGCCAACTTTTACCACCATCTCCATGCCGACCATTTGGTGGTAAACGAAGTGACAATGGAACAACCAATAGCCTAAAGCGAAAATTGATTAGGATCTCGTTCATATCTTCATTCGACATTGCATTTTTTAAAATCGCATAACACAACAATTGCATTTTTAGGTAATTCGTATTTTCTAAAATGTTATCTTGTAAAAACTTGTATCTAAAGCCCATTCTACAATTGCGTAAGTGTTGTCGTGTATCTACATAAGAATCCGAAACCAATCCGAATGTTTTATTCACTGATTGCTTTACTCTGATTGGTTGTCGTAATCACTTACAACCACTTAGAACCACTTTCACGCAATTGTAGAATGGGCTTTAGAGTTTTATCTTTAAATACCTACGATTCTCTACGTATTCTCCATTACATATTAAAAGATTCTTCCCGAAAGACTTACCAGGATTGTCCGCAATGAAGCGAATCACAACATAGCCGTTATACGGAATCACCACGGTATCTTTCTTCACCGGCTTGTCAAAACACCTATTGACTTGATTCTTCTCGTCCATTTCCCGCACAATTTTCCAATTAATGCTGCTCACATTCTCATCGATAGCTCGTCCCATGCCCATTACATAAAACGCATGTCCGTGCAAATGGAAAGGATGGGACAAATTGGTCGCTTGTACTACAACCAAAAATGAATAATTCTTGAAAAATGACTCGATATTTCCTTCATGTTCTCGCGCGCAATATGAGTGATTTACTCGATTAAACTATCTAAATGTAAAAAAAATACATGTAAAAGTCATGTTTTACTTGCTACTAAAATATATACAAAGCTTGTTAAAATCAATGAGGGGTATTTCCTTTGTTAGTTGGACATCTATAAAAATCCACGATGCATCATGGCCGAATTCGCCAAAAAAAAGAATAGACGCCAATAATAATGAAAAGTAGAATACACTCACATTCGTCGACTAGCAGTATCTCGACTACCGAGTCGTTCGGGATGTCCAACATATGTGTGCAAGTACACACGCCATCCTTGCAATGGTCCGGTATCGTATCTCTGTTACAATACTGATTATTCGAAATGTCCATAGGCTGAGAAAGGGGTGGTGAAGGTGGAAACTCGAACGATATGCCGTCGATTAAGGCGTTTATGGAAGATTTACCTGCTACAACTGTTAAAAATCAAAATATTTTGCTAGCTATTCTATTCATAGGTCTTATTTGTACACTCATAGTTTTTAACCGCGAAATTTGTCAATTAATTTTTCGCTGTGTTCCTTCACCCTCTGTACTCATTAAGAGTTTAAATTAGTGACTGATAGCGCTCGTATATAACACCCTGTTTGTGTTTTCGTATAACGATACATTATTTCTGACATTTACTTCCAAATTTTGCACAGAATACTCATTAAAGCTTACCCATAAATCTACGATAGTAATTAGGTTCGAAGACTTCCTGTTGCGTATATTCCTCGAAACCGACAGGTAAGTAGAATTTCAGGTCAGGCTCCTTCTGAAGAATCCTTTTGTCTATCTCTGTTTTGCTGTCTAAATTGCTGACGCAAATTGTATCGTCCAGTGGTACCTCGCAAGTTGCGTTTAACGCGTTCAACACCTATGAAGAATTGAACGAATAATATCAGTCATCAAGAACTGGTTAAAGTGACAAGACTCTCTACATTTTTTAAGTAAAATTCCGCTTATAAAGTAGAGTAACAGTCGAATCACTTGAATTCAAGTCGATTTTTCACTTATATAGAATAAATACTCTACTTTAGATCGTCAAGTGTAAATATTTTCATTCGAAATTATACTTACAAGACCCTGAGGGAGACCTTCGTTGTAAGTAGGATGCGGTTTCGGTTGGTTGGATGCGCCTTCATAGCGCAGAATGGCTAATTGTTGTATACCATCCCTGGAGCATTCACCCATGCCGCGAACTTGTATCCAATAAGAGTCAACGGATTTGTTGGTGTGCAAAATGAAATCATAACGTTCGCCTGCAATATTAAATCCAATGTTAAATCCAATTATTATTATACCGAGGTTTTCGTCGCATAAGCGATATAACTATTTAATGTGCAACGCGTCGTACTTCATTTAGTAAATTAACTGTCGGCTTCTACGTTAAAACGTAACATAATGTATTGTAGCTTGCTTGGACAGAAATAGTGACTCATTAGCTCATGATATTGCGAATTAAACGAGCTTTATGTAATAAACTGTACTACGAAGACTGACAAAACGATAATAATGCAATACCTGCGAACGATGTGACGGAATCCACCGTTTTCGGCTCGATGTCTTTACCGTCTGTGGCAATAATGGTAATCTTGTGATTTTCTATGGTGAACATACCAGGGCATACCGTGCAGAACGCGTTGACTAAACGAAAACGATATCGTTTACCAGGTTTCACGTCGAACACTTGCAGCGTGGTGTTCGTCGTATTCCCGGTCTGTAGATCCTTTGGTAAAAAGCATGCTCATTAACACGTCGGCTGCTAATCACCGATGATACGGTATAAGTAACTTCAGTCTGATGGATTATGAACAGTTACAGATAGTGTAGAGATCAAATGAGAAACAATGTAGACACCAACTATATTAAAAAAGACAAAGGGATAAGTAGAACGAACGTTATCGAGATACAATCAGACCGAATAAAATAAATAGAAAGAAAATATGTCCTTGTCCACAACCTTGCTTTAAGACGTAAGTCGTAAGTCGTAAGAAACTGACCAACCATAGTTAATTTTTAAAAGAATAATCAACTATGGTTGGTCAATTTCTTACGGCTTACGTCATAAAGCAAGGTTGTAGACAAGGGCTATATCTTCAACTTTTATTTAATGGACATTATTTTGACTCAATTTCTGATTTCTTAAGAGAGATAAAATTCGACTATTTTACTTAATCCTGAAGAAATAAGTTCTATGGTCAAACTCACTGTGTACTGCCCTTTACCGTTGATAAGTATCGTATCCGGTAACTGGCCAGTTTTTGAAAAACGTCTGCCTGGGAAGTAGCTAATCGCTTGATCATGCATCCAATCATTCATTATGATAACGTGGTTGGAGAGATCGTAATCGTACAGATGACTGTGATGATCATTCTCGGGCGGTTTACGCACGACAAGGCCACCGAAAATCCCGTCCATCTTCTGTAGACCGCTGTGCGCGTGCCAGAAGTGCGTTCCTGCGTTGTTCGCAGTCCATTGATATCTGTAATAGCATAAGAGCGTGATTTCCTTCTACATTTCATACATAGATATCTGTCACAGCGTAAAAACACGATGTACTTTCACATTTTACGAGATTTTAAAAGCCTTCTTTTACAAGTTGCTGTCACCCATTTCTTACACATTTTACATGAACAAAATAACAATAACAATAAAGATTATATTTACTACCATTACTACAACAAATAAAAATTAGTAATGCCGTTACCTTCCATTACTGTTTCCTTATTTCCTTGTACTACAGGAAAAAGTAACAGCAAGAACATTATAAAGAACATATTACGTTCCGACTTTTGCCCGAATCCGACCAATGTTTAATCACCTGAACTTATCACCGTTCAAAATGGGACACTGCGTCAAGAATGGAACACCGTCGTAGTATTGAAATCCTTTTTGAAAAACCCCATGCCAATGGATCGACATGCCGGTACCGGACATGCGATTCTCGACATCGATCACCACGTGGTCGCCTTCGCACACTTCGATGGATGGTCCTGGCAACTGTCTATTCACAAGTTGGGCGGAACGCTCGACACCGTCACCGGGCACGCATTGGCAATCACTGCAGAAATTATTCGTCGCACCGGGAGTGCACAACTCGCAGGCCCTTCATGAACATTGTTAGAAGCGCATTATTCGTCTTTTTTTTTCTGAAATCCTACGAAAATATCGCGCGGACTAATCGCTTGAATTCAGTCGGGAACTCGAAAAAGTTCCTCAATTGCAACATCGCTGATCATGACGACTTACAGTCCGTTGACCTGATAATTCTCCACGACGAAATTATAATAGCAGATTCTACGATCGTCTTTACGACACGTGCGAGCGCATTGGACGGGGCTCGACATTGTGGTGTTCGGGATAAGCAAATACGGTAGGCAGAATCTCTCGTCGATAGGTCTTAGGTTGTCCAATCCAGCGACAATGGACTTCCTGCTGCGCATATGTCGATACTTGAGATTGTTCGGATTGCTCTCTGGATCATCTATCGGCCTTATAGGCGTAATCGTCTTTGGGTGAGTCAGTATAGGTATGTTGTCATAATACGGAGTTCTCGGCGCATCCTCATGATAGTAAAAACGATCTGGTTTTCTCTCCTGTGATCTTTTTATGTAAAACGGAGATTCTATCACATCGTCGTACAACTCTGACAAGAAATCGTATCGATCTGCAGCAAAAATACATCACACTTTCATTTAACATATTTATACTTGTGACTTTCAAAGCGCAATAAAGTCAAGATGTTATCTCATAATTGTATCTTAAATCGACGACTCTTTATCGTGAATTATGCAGAGGCCAATCCTGTTGTACACGCGATTATTCCAGAAGATAAAGACGTCTTTTTAAGAGTCTTGAGAAAATTGATCATTTAGAAAGGTAAAATAAGTTACACTTCTCTAGTATCCTACTCAATCCTTATAGAAGTCACCAAAAAAATGGGGAAACATACCACAAGAAACAAATGTCAGATACAGCAACAATACACGCGTTGCAAGCTGCATTGCGACTAATACGATCGGCAGTCGTGCGCAATACGACAGTATGGCTCTTATATATGATTTTCTCATATGTTTGTTTTATTATTCGGTTGAAAGAACATGCATTTAACACAGCTGAGTACATACATATTCCAATGTGGTCCGGAAACTCTGGTTTCTACAAATCCACTTGTTATGTTGTACATTACACATTCCAGATTGTTAACACGAAGCCGACGGGATGATAATCACAGACGGTATTCACATTCCTCGTCCGTCGTGATGTACATGCATCAATAAGTCGGCCGTTTATCAAGAGAATGTTGTTAGATATCAGGATGCTTTTGAGTCGAATTAAACTGAGAATACTTACTCGCAAATTGATAAACAAATTGTGTACAAGGAAACATCCCCGATTCGACTTATTAGCGCTTTCCGTGTGAGCAAGGTTGCACATAATAAAATATAATAGCTCCGGATATAGTGCTTGTGCAAAATATTATTGAAGTCTGAGCATTATGTGTTTTCACAAATGCCGAAGTCTCATAAAATGTCTCGTTCTTCTATGCGTATAATATTTACATTTACATGCAACGCAGAAGTATTCACAAGATATTAATTATAGTTATAAAGATGAAATTCTCTCAAAAAGTACTCAACTCAATTCGTCATTTTGCGATCGGCCTATAAATACACAGATTGAAAAGACAGTTTAAGAAATGGTAACTTCTGAATTAGATGCCAAAATTAAACAGATTTTTGGACAATATTTCTTGTTGAATTGAGTAAGATATTTTGCTATGCACAAAAATAAAATTTATTTTATGTTAAAATCCAGTATTTACCTACTCGATTATCTTACAATATTACAGATAACAGGTTCATACTCGTTAACAATTACTAATTATTATAATATAAATCTCAAATTATTTGTATCAGGTACGGTGAATTGCAAAGTTAAGCTATAACTAAATCCTTCGCATAATATATTTGCTGAGTATATGTACAGATATAGTCAATAGAATAAAAGGTGCAATACTTTCACCTCGATGAGCTTTGACGATGATTAGGTATCGGTATCAGAGAAAAAATTGTTTTTTTAAGTAATTCTGAGGAGAAATAAATTTTCTTATCCTTATTATCTATTATTAAATTTTATTATCGAATTATCATAAAGTTCATCGAGATGAAAATATAACCTCTCTCTCGCCGATTGTAACATAACTTTACATTATAGATATATGACTTTAAGTTTACAATTTCGCTCTATTCGTACATCCCGTAAGAGAAAACACGTTTCCATATTCAGTATTCCATCTGACATATTGCTATACGGATATTCAGAGACATAACATAGTCTGAGATCTAGATTAAGCGGAGAAACGATTAATCCGAAATATAAAGTGACTCACATCACAGTAATTTTTTCTGAGGCAAGAGGACGAAAGTATCAACCGTAATAATTATGCTGAGTTATGTTTGGCATAAAATTCCCACACCGCGGAAAACCTCGCGGAACAGGTGGTACGTCGAATCGGTTTCCAACGCGAAATACGTTGCCCATACCCGTCGCCAGATGATAAATAAAGTGGCAGTGAAGTAGCCAATAACCTGAAAATAAGTAGTTGGTTGAAATTCGCCTGGCTGTTAAGTCAAACATGAAAATCAAATGTTTGAAATTTAAATTTTCTATCATTATTTTAATACAAACTATTTTTTTCGAACAGTCCATTTAATATTCTTCACTCGCGTTTTAATATTTCAGCCACTTTCAATTCGTAGCGCAAAAGTGTTTAAGATAATTGTATAGTGAAATAAATTTCTTAGGAACTTCCTTTAAACTACATATCTAAATGTTACCTTAATTGCATGCACAATTGAAAAAAGTATAGCAAGCTTTAAAGTCTTGAACTGTGATATAAAAAGATGCTCACCAGGATTATTCGCGCGGAAGCGTACAATTACGTAACCGTTATTTGGCACAGCTATAGTGTCTTTAAATGGTGCCAAGGATCTCCTTCTACGTATAAGGCCTCTTCTGTCCATTTCTTTTATTTCTTCTACTGTAACTCCGGTTCCATTGTTGGGCACGTCGGAGTACATGATATTAAAAGCATAGCCATGTAAATGAAACGGATGATGCAGTCCGCGTGCTCTGGCTAAAAGGAAAATGCAAAAATAATGCAACATCTTCCTAAGTAGCAGGAAAATCGGAAATGTTATTGTGTTGGAAGTATTTTTATTACGCTACCACAATTCAATCGCAACATCACGCAATTATAAGTGCGAAACTACAAAAGTACTCGGTGGTACAAACGTGTCTAAGTATTGGTGATTTTACCTTAAATAATAAACAGAATAAAAAGCGTGCTTACTTTCATCGACTATGATGAGTTCAACGATGCCGTTGTACGGAAGGTCTATGACGTGCGTACATATACATGGATCCCCGCAATTGTCCGGTTTGCCTGTACCATTGCAGATTATTTCAGGTGGTATATCTTCCAACTGCGAGAGTGGCGGCGAGGGCGGGAAACGCAATGAAATGTTGTTGACATATGAAAGCGTATGACGACCGCCAGGCGCAACTACAGTCACATAAGAACAAAAAAAAACGTTATTGAACTCGGTGTCGTAAAGCGCAAAATTTGACTTAGCACGATGCTCCATACACAATAAGGTTTGTCGATTAATCGAAACCTGGTTTTCCTCTCAAGCGCAATTCTGTTGAGCGGAGCAAATCTTACCTAGAAATTTATCGAAAGAGCTGGGTGCAAAGAGTTCCTCAATATCGTGCACGTAAAATCTAAACGGTAAATATATCTGCATGTGTGGTCTTCTCATATAAATATCCTCGTCAACTGGTTCCGCACTTCGTAAATTGCTGACACAAACTGCGTCATTTCTTGGTTGATTGCATTGAGAATTAAGTGGATTTAATACCTACAAAGACCATCATTAAAATATGAGAGAGAAAGAGAGAAAAAGATTTAAGTAATTAAACGAGATTAAACTGAATGGAGATAATCATTTGCGTGCAAATAATCATCTGCAATTTTTGTCTAAATTATTCACAAAGAGAGTTAAGTATATAAGCACTTACAATCCCTTCAGGGAGCGAAGAGTTGAAACTGGGCATAGGTGTCGCCGGTTGGTTTGATGCACCATCGTATTGGAGTATAGCTAGCTGTTGAATATTTCTGCTTTCGCACGGTGATACTGCACGAAGTTGAATCCAATACGAGGCAACTTTGTTGTTCGCGTTTATGATAAAGTCGTAACGTTCCCCTAAGAATCAAACATTTAATATCCTTTAGCTCACTACATGTCACATTTTAAAAACATTAATTTATTTGCAGGAAATTGCATCAATATCGCGGAATCAATCGTCATTTTCGAGGTAATTTTAGATAACGGCATTTATCTCAATAATCCATATCCGTGTACACCTGATATGCATTGTTCCTTATTTTCCAGCAAAATTATTAACATGGAGAAAAGTGCGGTCTACAGAGATTTGTGATAAAAAATTCATCAAACAAAGCTCATCTTATTGCCAGGAAAAATTTACGATAATTTTGTTGGCAACAAAATTCTCACGTAATTATTTCTCGTATATACGACCTGCTCGTGCCTATCTTTTTTACATATATATATATACACACACATATACATACATGCATAAACATTCAATAATGAAGATTTAATAATCAAGATTTAATAATAAAGATTTAATAATCAAGATTTTATAATCGAAATTATTTTTTACAAAATGAAACATCGAAATCAGATAAAGAAAAGTCCACGTAACTCAAACCCGAAAATCAAATGTAAAATTATCTTTATCCCGGAAATAATCCATCTCAGATCGAAAATGTTATTAATCTCGAGCGGAAAAAACATGATATTAAAGAAAGTGTTGAATCTGAAAAGTCGGCGAATCTAATAACATCCAGCATATTAGCGCTCTCGTGCATTGTGAATTATGAAAATGAATTATAAATTATGAACTATCAAATTAAAACGGACCGATTTACTTCAAACTTTGTATTTTATGCTCTGCCATACCTGAAACACTAACGATGGAATTCACTACGGTGGGTCTGACCGAAATGCCGTCTGCTGCTATGATAGTAAGATTATGTCCCTCGACGGTTAATATTGACGAACAGACCGTACAGAAGGTATTCACAAAGCGAAATCGGTAACGACGATTGCGTTCCACATGGAACACCTCGAGATCCGCGTCGGTAGTAAAATTCTTTTCCTGTTAATGAAAATATTATAATCTCTCTCTATAATACTTTGTGGGGCCAAAAAATATGTATAAACAATAATTGTCGTACATGAAAATTTAAATTACTTTCGTAAATTTTTTTAAGATTAGGATTGCCAAGAAAAAATCTTCAACCTCGAATTTCAAAAGAAGACGTCTCCGTAGAAAATCACAGAGAGACAAATTTACCTGATATCGTCCCTTGCCGTTAATTAGAATAGAATCCGGATCTTGATATCTCGGGAAAGGTTGTAGACGACGACCTGGTATTCGTGTCACACCTAACTCATGCATCCAGTCATTGATGATGATCCCATGGCGGGACAAGTCAAAATCATACAACTTGCTATGTACATCGTGTTTTGCTGGTTGACGTACAATCAATCTTCCAAAACAACCGTCTGTCTTTTGCAGTCCGGTGTGAGCGTGCCAGAAGTGAGTGCCCGCGTTGTCGGCATTAAATTGATATCTGATGAAAGAGTTTTATCAAAAAAAAAATACATACTTTGTATGTACACGTCAAATAATTGATTCGACTTTTAGTTAATTTGGCTCGATCGCAGTTTGTGCGTCAAAATTTGCACAACCCTGAGACTCAATTCTTTTCACCCGATCTTTTTCTTTTGTTAGTGCAATCACTTATTACGCAGTTACCTGAATGTAGTTTGTTCAGGAATCGGACATTGGGTAACATGGGCCGCACCGTCGTAATACTGCGAGTCCTTCTGGAATACCCCGTGCCAGTGAATCGTCAGTCCCTCGCCTTCTATTTTATTGAAAACATCGACTACGATTCTGTCGCCCTTGCAAACATCGATGGTAGGCCCAGGGATCATTCGATTCACTGATACAACTGCCCTTTCCACTCCGTCCATGGTCACGCACTGGCAATTGTTGCAAAAGGCGTTAGTTGCATTCGATTTGCAGAGATCGCAAGCTCTAAACAAACACAAGATATGTGTGAATAACGACAGGGCGTTCAGCTCACCTGAATATTTCAATTTACTTCATTAGAAAGAGGAGCAATCTAATGTCGTTCAATTGTTCCTCTTCCTGACGAAATGAATTGAAATATTCACGAAACTGTAGGAACAAATCCACAAAAATCGCGGCTCCAAATCGGAAGCTAAATTCAGCATTTCTCTACATCATGGAAGCCTCAAGTATCAATCACATCATCAAATATAATAATTAATAACTTGTTATCCTCATTTAATCAACAATTAATAAAACGTCTTTAAAGAAACTATTTTATAATAGTATATTTTAATATAGATATATTTACTCACTTGCTGAGTGTGGAGTAGTACTCTACTTCAAAGCGATAATAACATATCTTAGGTTTCTCACGATCGTCGCAGCTGCGCGCACATTCGAGAGGGCTGGACAGATTGGGGAGATCCGGTGTCGGATTTACTCTGATCGGGCAAAATTTTCTTATATTCTCTCTTTCGTCGTCGACTCCTCCGATTACCCGCGATTTTCGCAAAGATTCACTACCGATGCTAATATCTTCGGACGAGGTCAGATCATCGTACAAATCTTCGAACAAATCTTCAAATAAATCGTCGTCGTCAACCGAAGTTCCATCCTTCATCGAGATCGCATCTTGTAGGATTTGCGATCGCGCCTCTGCAATCAAAGCACCAAGACGTCGATCATGATCTTTGTGGGCTCATATTTGCCTTTTTATTCATTAACGAATTGAAAAGTGTCGACGCACACTTACGCACTATATACACTCGTGAATCTCGCGGACACAACGAGCCGCGATAAAAATTGCACCATTACACAAAATTAACAATACGATTACATTTCGTGTGTTCACAATAACGAAAGTCATAGATGCATGACAGATCCGTAGTTAAAAATTATCGTTTCACCGGCTCTTTTCGTTTATTTTACATTTCACGCCTCCTGTCTTTCCTTTCATCCGGTTTCACTTTTTTGTACTCACAACCCTTATAGAAATATCATACTAAGAATCATTGATAATTACTTATTATCCAGTATTTTTAATACTGAAAATAAGTAATTATCAATGATTCTTAGTATGATATTTCTATAAGGGAGAGAGAAGCAAACAACATTCAATATGAGATGATAATAAAACGATTCGGAAATGTTCGTTTAAATGATACGACTAATGACTTTGCAAAGAAAGCGTCTTACAAAATCGTAATGATAAGAGAGAGAATGCCTGAATTAATAAAGTACCTTACCGCAATAAATCAATATCGCACAGAAGACAGCCGAACGGAAGATGTACATTGTCGCGAAATGTGTGACGTTTGACGATGCATGTCACATTTAATATCGCTTTTATACATTTCTAAAGATGTGTATATACGCAGATCTTAAGCTTATACTCAGATCTTTAGATACACTCTGATAACACTCTGATAACACATTTCCGATAGGCGGTTTTGTCATTAAAATGTATTTTGAGATTGTGCATTGTGATTTCGTAGATCAAGCCGCTCCTGAGTGCGCAAGAGAGAGAGAGAGAGAGAGAGAGAAGGGGAAAAATAAAGGTGGTTAAACGATCTTACTTTTCGTATTAAGTCGGAACTTTATAAATATCGTTCTACGAAAACCTTCGCTCAATTATCTGCCCGCTCTACTCGCCTATAAACATATTAAGCAATTCACTTATCGAGCAGTTTTCTATACAATTCTTTCTTTACACACAATACCTTCCACACAATTTAATTGTTTACTCGCTTTATCTAATTTCCGTGTAATATATCACTTGTGTGAGTTAATCATTGCTGTTTCGAACTCCCGCGGCGTCCACAAATACAGTTCCGAACGCAATTATGTATCCCGGATATCCCTCTGATAAGTAAGTCCTCTTTTCGACGATAAGTGTATAACTGTTTAATTAAAAACAACTACTTCGAAGAAAATATGTCGATAATGTTTGAATACGGAAAAAATAGAACTGATCGCCGATAACATTGCGAATCATGAAAATAATATCGCACATCCCTTACACAGAGCGTCTATTTTAGTGTCCTGAAGTAATAAACTGTATCTGGACTGTAATTGGACACGCGATTATATTACTGTTTAAAAATTATTATATTCTCCGTATTTCTTCCAAGACAAAGCGCTTTTCTGCTATTGATTTCTTGTTAGAAGTCGACATGATCATTCCCCGCGAAATGATACTGCGATATCGAGGAATCAAAGATTTTCTTTTATCACTGCTGTGTCATGGTCCATATTCTATAACTATGGTCCATATTCTGAATTCCCTTTTATTGCTAAAAGCGCCTCTAAGAACACTTTGTAGACAATCAGAAACCTTAGAAGTCACACGCAAAAAAAGAACTAGCTTCCAGATCTAAAAAATAGCTGTGGCAGATAAGATGTGTCACTGAAATAGAGACAGCTAATGTCAATACTACCGAAGCTAAATTTATTCGCTGTTAAACTTAGACGCTACAGCGAGAAATATTAACTGTTAGAAATAAATGACTGTAACAAATGATTGTAGCTGCGGCAAACTTCTTTAATAGATGCATACGATAAGAAATTTAGGAATAACTGCCATTTTCTTAGCTACTTGAAATAATGTGCATTTTTAATGTCACCTAATATATTTGTATTTCATAGCGAATGCATCTTAGCTGTCATAGCCAATTCTTAACAGTGACAGCTAAACGATTAGCCTTTTGACTAAGTTTGAATCAGCTACCGCGGTTTAGCAGATATTACTAAATCATTTTTTTGCGTGCAGGAGCACTTTTAGCGAAAAAAGAGAGTTCAGAATATGGACCTATGTAAAGTAATGTGGTATTATCGTTGTTGCTCCTACATCTAAGGGTGTCAACAAACAATGTTATCAATTTAACCTCCATGTGACTAAAAATAATTCATGGAGCTCTGTCTGCTCGAAAAAATCCTCTTGTTAACAAATACTTGATAACCTCGTTTTCGTATACCTTATTGCGCATGTTACATGATAATTGATGCTATTTGCTTTATTTGATAAAAAAGAACGTTTATCTGTAAGCTGTAAGGTAACAGTTCGCATAATCGCTGATACAACATGAAGCATTGCGTTATGTGAACACGTGCCACAAATATCAACGAATAGCATGTGCAATTTATGGACGAAATTATCTCCTCACGTAATTGGCGATGTTTTAAATTCTAGTGAAATTACCTAGAAGTGATTTCACGCATGATTTAGTTTCGTAATCTAGTTTCTCGCAATATTTTATACTCGGAAACTTCGACAACATCTATGTACACCTCTGTGTACAATAAACACACATATCGCGTTAAATTGATTCCTAAATTTACACCACTGAAATTTGTATGTATTCTATGAAATAGATTTTCAGTTCTGTTCATAGTTCACAAAATCAATACTTTGACATTAACATACAATCGGTATTTCTTATTTTCCTTTCGAAAAATATGTACAGTGTCGTTATAGAATTCTTGCAGAGGAGCAACATAGCGAAGAACACTGCGTATCAAGATGTAATTACATTAATACTGAATAAGACGCAGTAAAGCATCCTAATAAGAACTATATTAAGAGCTGTCTGCAACTGGGGTGATAAATAACGTATTATTAAGCAAGGTCGTAATTAATTACACGGTTTAACACACACTTCAAGTGTATTATTTCAAAAACTCAGAAAAACTCAAATCTCAGAATCACTATGATATTTGGAAAACAAGCTTAAAGTGGATAACGGAATTAATATGAATTGCTGGAGTTTTGTTCCAAAACAAAGAATTTATGATTTACTAGAACAATATATACGCACGCTACGCGCGTGCCATATAGCTATTAAAAAACAATAAAAAATGTAAAATAAAAATTAATTAAATTAAAATATATTTTAATTAATTAATAATTATAGGGAGAGACAGGGAGAGACAGGGAGAGACAGGAAAAGACAGAGAAAGACAGGGAGAGACATATCTCTTCTGTATTTTTTTTCGTGACCTAACCAACGCGATGACAGCTATTTACCTGGTAATTTGACAAACGCAAACGACACAAAGCAAGCCGCAACTCACATGAAGTGAGCTAAGCGAGAGAACAATCAGCATCGCGAAAACGACAACAATTAAATCTCTTACATGCCTTTTTTTAGAGAGCATTATTAAAATAGTAATAACAGCGATGAAACGATTAACAATTAACGTTTCATTATCCATTGTGTCATTATAAAATAAATCAATATCAAACTAGCATAAATTACAAGTAGAAATACACAAAATCAAAATATCAATAACAAGACAATGTTTTATTGTTACATTAAATAACCATTGTGTAAACCTCACACGGAAAAAAATAATTTGCTGGCCCAGCAAATTTTCTGCTGGTCTAACAAAATCTTTTCGTTATTATATGGAGAGCAAAAAGATTTGCTAAGAATACTAATCACTGAATACTAAGAATACTAATCACTGAATACTAATTTGCTGAATATAATTTGCTGAATCTACAAATTATTTTGCTATAAGAACTATGATGGATTTATATAAGCAGTTGCAGTTTTGCTCTGATAGCAAATAAATTTGCTAAGGATATATTATTTTGCATCAATAGCAAATTAACGTGATTCTTGGGACAAATACATACTCAACAAATTTTTTCTATCTTGCCAACAAAACTATTTCTGCTCTGATAACGAATAATTTGTAAAATTAGTTACATCAACTAAATTTTTTTTATGTCACTACGAATATGCAGTAGCAACGACGATTTTGCTAAAAGAGTAAAATTATTTTTCTCCGTGCAACATTTCGTATTATCGAATTAATAGAAAGTTCTTCGAAAATTGAGAAATATCGACGAAACGTGATGGATGACAACTCAGATAGCACAGAGAATTCAAAAAGAACTCAATCGTATGTCATCAATTCTGAGTTCATTTTTAGATACAAAAAGAATTCTTTTCACTGAACTGAACTCTCAAGAATTCTTTTTACATCTGAAAATGAACTCAGAATTGGTAACATACGACTGAATTCTTCTTAATTTCTTTTTAATTTTCTATGCTGTCTGAGAGATCATGAAGTACACGATATGGAATTATAAATGATAAGATACATAATCAAAATAAATAATATAAATCAAAATAAATAATATTTTGATTATACATAATCAAAATAAATAAAGCCCTCAAACGCGCTTTTATATAACATTATGCGTTTTCAAGTTAAAAATTCAGAAAATTAAGAAAAAATAATGAAAAAATTACGTTACAACTATATATATATCTAATTAAAATATTAAAAAGGTTTCTCTGAAATTGAAATAATTGCCGTATGATTACTCGCCGTACGATAAATATCGGAAAAGAATAACCAGTGAACTATGAGATATACATAAATAAAATATCGGAAATAAAAGATTTTCTCATTATCACAATAAAATGATAATTGTTGTGTAAAACGAATTAACGTAATCCCAGGTAGCAAAGTGACGTCTAAAGACGTCATTAAGACGTTATTAAGACGTCTATGACGTTTTAATGACGTCTTTAGACGTCACCTTGCTACCTGGGATGTGACTATTATTAGTAATATATTCTGAAAGTTCGACGCAAATTAAACAAATAAAATTCCATATATGCAAAAAAATTTTTACGTACTTTCAGCACTCCCAATGATGATTTAAACATGAGATTTGGATTCGGCGAACCGAAATCGCGAAAACGGGGCGACTTCTCATCAGCACAAATCTTCAAAGAACGTTCTAAGGATGTTTTAAGGACATTCATACATTCTAAGAACGTTCCAGAACATTTTCTGAAGATTTTGTGCTGTCTGAGTTGTGAAATCCATTATTTCCGCGTTCCATCGCAAACCGTTTTTAGCCTCAGGGTGAAGTCCCATAGCACGTATTTTCGCATAACGCGTAACCGCGTAACCAATCACATCTTTCTATTATTTTAGAAGTTCCAACAGAAATACTAAACATCGCAATTTATTAGTTACGCACTTACGCGGTACGCGAAAATACATGCCATGGGACTTCAGCCTCATTGTCACAAACCTTTGCACCAGATTCTGCCAATTAAACGCTACGAACAAATAAAGGGTCTAATGGCTCCTGCACACAGGACGCAGTAATGCTTGCCGCGCGGTGAAAGTCCGCGCGACAGCCAATCAATATGTTGCTTTTCCGTAAGAGCTAGAAGGTTATTACAGAAAGCAACATATTGATTGGCTGTCGCGCGAACTTCCGCCGCGCGGCAAGCATTAACGCGTCCTGTGTGCAGGAGCCATAAGAGATTATTAGACTCCTTATTTTTGCATAACGTTATGGCTCCTGCACATAGGACGCGATAACGCTTGCCGCACGGCGGAAATCCGCGCGACAGCCAATCAATATGTTGCTTTTCCGTAAGAGCTAGAAGGTTATTACGGAAAGCAGCATATTGATTAACTGTCGCGCGAACTTCCGCCGCGCGGCAAGCATTAACGCGTCCTGTGTGCAGGAGCCATAAGAGATTATTAGACTCCTTATTTTTGCATAACGTTATGGCTCCTGCACATAGGACGCGATAACGCTTGCCGCACGGCGGAAATCCGCGCGACAGCCAATCAATATGTTGCTTTTCCGTAAGAGCTAGAAGGTTATTACGGAAAGCAGCATATTGATTAACTGTCGCGCGAACTTCCGCCGTGCGACAGCCAGTCAATATTGTGTTTTTCCGTAAGAGCTAGAAGGTTATTACGGAAAGCAGCATATTGATTGGCTGTCGCGCGAACTTCCGCCGCGCAGCAAGCATTACCGCGTCCTGTGTGCAGGAGCCATTATGCAGGATCACACCGTGTCCGAGTCCGACGTACGACGTCCGATATCCAATAAAAGAATAGCTTTCCAATAGAGAATTGAATTCTATATTAGAAAACTATTTTCCTATTGGATATATGACGTCGTACGTCGGACATCAGACACGGTATGAATCCTGCATTAGTTCTGAAGTCTCCGCTATGTGCCGCCACTTTTTTGAACGACATAAGTTCGTTCGTACCTGATGTTCTCAGGGCTATAAATAATTTCGTGAAGGATTCTAACTTCAGTACTTAGCAACTCTAACGATTCAGAGGCGTATAAACAACTGGCTAATAAGACATAGGAGCTGCCCTTGGCCAATTTAACAAGAAGAAGAAGAAGAAAACATAAGTTCGTCACGCACACTTTCATGCTGAAAGCATTATTCTTTCTTCCATATGTAACGAGTGAGAAAAATAGAATGATGCTTTTAGTACGAAAGCGTGCAAAACGAACTTAGCCATAGAGTTTCTCTAGTCGGAGTTAGAACATAGTATAATGATGTGATATGAGTGGAAGTGAAAGGAAAACTTTAATAGGAGTGAGAAAGAAGTTCTAATAAGTGTGAAATGACAGATTGCAATTTCTCTATCATTCACACTCTTTTCCTCCCTACCAATGGTTGACGTGTTCATGCAGGATTCACGTTGCATGTGACGTCTGACAATCGATATCCAGTAGAGTTTGTTTATTTGAGTTTTTAGCTAACAACATATTTGTCTCTAGGAAAATAATTCTCCTATTGAATATAGGACGTTGTATGTACATCGGGCGGAATACTGCATTCAACAGAGAAAGCTACTTTACAACTGTTATAAAATTCGTGAATCTGATTGGTGTATGCTCTTAGATTCAATCGAAATCAAGAGAATATACCAATCAGATGTACCATCAGAATCTTACAATGGTTGTAAAGCAACTTCGCTGCTGAACGCAGCTTTTATGAATTTTGCATAAAGGCTTTATGACGGCCGTAATCCGTTAACTTATTACCAGAACTGTGAAAATTTGACCAATCATAATCAAATTAAAGAAGAATAATCGACTATGATTGGTCAATTTTTTATGGTTCCGGCATAAGTTAACGGATTACGACCATCATAAATCAGCCTTTAACTTTTGACTTCTGCACACAAGACGCACGAATGCCTGCCGCGCGACAAGAAGCGCGATGCAGTGATAAAATTGCAACTTTTATGGAAAAATGGCACATTGTTTGACTACCGCGTTGCTTCTTGCTGCACATTTCCGTGTCTTGTGTGCAGGAACCATTTGATTTGAGGAATTCTAGAACGAGGAATTAAAATTGCGGAATATGATCAAATAATGGATCGGACACGTTTTATCAAGTAGTACCACTCATGCACATATGCATCCTTGAAATTAATGAAATTGAGATCGCTCAGTCTTGTAATACTGTTTAGTGGATCAAACGGTAGAGGTAATACAGGTTACACGTAAAATATTTGCGACAATATATTTACAGTATAAATGATTTGCAATGTGATATTCAACATCAGTCAAGTTGACCGAATTGGTGTACTAGGATCAAATAATCGACTGATATAGGTTATGATTTATCCCAATCAATTGTGTATGTGTGGATAATATATAATGTGACCATTCATAATAATACGTTTCACATTTCGTAATATAATTCAAACTTAATAGCTCAAGATGCAATGACTAAGATTATTAATTTATTATTTACTCTTGTTTCTACTATTTACTTTTTAGCTGATATAAGGTGTGATATTAGGAGCATTTTAATTGTAATTTACTAATTCATATTGATGTTATTTTCATAGGAATAATATTTTTAAACAATGGATACTCCCTTACAAAAAGTGGAGTTACAAGCAGATGTCTACATGGTCTGTTTGCAACATGCTTTGTCAACAGAAAACTTTGAAGTGATGGGTTTACTCATTGGCAATGTATATTAATCAAATTAATATTTTATACTTTATTGTACTTATTATTTTTTATGCAATTGCTGAGACAACCAAGATATTAATTATTGCTATTTTAGTTTGCACATGGAGTAGCAAAAATATCAGCTGTTATCATTTTACGACGACTAGATAAAAAGAAAGATAGAGTGGAAATTTCATCAGAACAATTATTAAAAGCTGCTATTGAGGCTGAACGATTAACAGCAGAATTAAAACGTCCTATGCGTGTGCTTGGTTGGTATCATTCGCATCCACATATTACAGTTTGGCCATCACATGTAGGTATGTATTAGCAATTTTTTTTTTATAATTGAAATTCAATTATATATTAATAACATTCTTCCTGCTTCTATATAAGAAATGTGCGTATATTAGGGGAAATGTAATATATAAAACATACAAGTAATATATAATCTACTTGTATGTGTGTAACTATATATTATATTAAAATAATTCTTTTATTATATATCAAATTGTGTTTTTGCAGATGTCAGAACTCAAGCCAATTATCAGACCATGGATCACAGTTTTGTAGGCTTAATCTTTTCAGTATTTTCCGAAAGCAAAGATTCAAAAGTACATATATTTACTTACTTTACTTATCTTAATATTTGCGTCAACATATAAAATGTGGTTTTAACAGTTTATAGTCACTGAAGTGGATTATGCCTCTGAAATAGAAATTCATTTCATCTATCTAAATTACTATTATTAATAATTTAAATGTTAAAAATTTTCTCTTTTTTCTCTTACAGGAACATGAAATCTTTCTAACTTGTTTTCAATCAAGCATGGTTATGGGTGAAGCCACAGAAATACCATTAGAGATAGTACATACTCAGCAGATTTCAGATAGATGTTTAAAGGTAAAGTTTAAATTTTTGATACTATGAATGAAAATTTAATGGAATGACGAGAGAACTGTCTTTTGTCTAAAATTAAATATTGTTATAGACAATGACAGACTTGTCAAAAATATTGGCTCAAGAAGAAGAAGATATAGCTGAGACATGTAAGGACCATCCAGATGTTCTTGCAACTATTCACAACAATGCTGGTATGTATTATTTTCTATACTGATTGTTTACATTATAAAACAAAGAAGTGTGATGTTGATAGATTGAAACAATAAATCACTTAAACGTTCGTTAATTAATTATTATTAGTATGATAAGTAATAAATCTTTAAATATAATTCTCTTTATTTATAGTCAGAACACGTGCGTTGATTCACATAACAGACATTATCACAAAGCCCTTGATACAAACATTTGAAGAAAGGATAGCATTGAATAAATTGCGTGCTGCCCATCTCCGAAGTAAATTGGAAGAATTACGAAAAATGTACAACGGATGAAAACTTTTTCAGCAATTCCATTCGTGATGAAGCGAGTTTTCTGATAAGAGAGAGTTGTTAAATAATATAAATAATAATTTCAAATAAAAAAATTAAATATTTACTGGATTAATAAAGTGAGTTATGTACTTCTGAATAGTTTAGTATCATTTATTTCATATACTACTTAATATTAAGAGATTTTTGACAGTCAGTGACAATGAAATATAAACTTTTTATGTTACTATTAAAATAAGAAATATTTTCATTGTACTGATAGCAGTACAATATATTAATGAAACTTTTGTTATATGCTATATACATATATTTGTATATTCATCTATTTTGAATAAGGAAAAATTAAAATGTCAAAATATTGTTTAATATCCATCTTAAGTCCAACCAATATTTTTTTTTAAAACGTGCACTGAAGAACTACTTTATAGCATTGTATATAAAAGATACTTATGATTGTTTTATATTTGGAGTTTAAATATAAATTATAAATATGCCTATTCTCCTGAACGTTTAGTATTGTAACTATTTACAATAAACAATACATATTCATTTACAATCCATTAATGATATTAAACAATTATTATATTAACTTCGATATTCTCTCATTGCACATTTTAATAAATTAATAATATAAACGAATAAACCTTTTAGTGACTTTTATTTTACTTCTCACGAACAAAGACCTGGCAATAATTGCACAGTTCTATATTTACACTACGAGAACAACAGCGTATTTAAATAGACTTAAATGTATTCAAAACACAGATTCCGCAGAACGAGAAAGATGTATAGGATGAGAGGGACTACGTGCTAACCTTTTGCGAGGCAGCTTTTCAAGTGTACTTAACAGCTTTGCAAAGTCAGGACGATTTTCTGCGTGGTATGACCAACAGTGCATCAAAATGTCCTGTAAAGAAATTATCAAATTGGAATAGCACATTTATGAGTAGCAGATAAAATTTAAGATGTTAATATGTTTGATATCGTATAGATATGTATATATTATACCTTTACATCACGAGAAGCTTGCAAATTTGCCAAAGTTTGTTTCATTCCTTTCCCGACTTGCCATATTATAGCTTCGGGAGGTTGTCCTTTAAAGGGCCATTCTCCGCATAATAACTCGTACCAGACAGTCCTATCATAAAATGTACTCTTTTTGATCCTTCATCCTTATATTACATAACTTTATAATCCTTACAATCTATACTTGCAGTTATATAATTAAATATCAGAAAATTACTAACCCAAATGCATATACATCAGAAGCAGCTGTAAATGACAATTCTTCTTGATCCCGATTTTGTTGTGGCCTCAGTCGTCGAACGATTTCGGGCGCTAAGTAACATAACCAACCAGGTGGTATGCTCAGTCCATCTCCTTTCCTAGATATATATAAGATATGTGTGTGTATACAAAATGACCATTAAATGTATAACTTAATAAGATTTAATTGTATTCCATAGAACATAAACTCACCTATTTCCGTAGCACAATTTGGTAACACTAAACAAACCAAAATCTGTTATTACAACTTTTCCATTTTCTAAAAATATATTTTTACTCTTAAGATCTTTGTGCACTATTCCACGAGCATGAAGATATCCCATACCCTATAAGATAAAATTATTATTTAATATATACAAAATTACATAAAAAAAAGAGATATTTTTATATCCTCTATATTATGTCCTTATATATTTTTTTTATTTATAGTATCTTTTATATTTATTATATTTTATTTTATTGTATTCTTATATATTTTTTTTTATATTTTGTATTTAATATTTGATATTTATAATTTATAATTTCGTGTTCACGTAAATGTAACCTAAATATATGTATATATAATTAAACTAATAATTTAAAATATTACTAGTACAGATCATACCTGAGAAATCTGTTGAGCGATAATAGTAGTTTTATTCATATTAAATTTGTCCTTTCGTAAATGAATATGAGTATAAAGTGTCATGCCTTTACTCATGCTAGTTACTATAGCCAATCGAGGAGGTTTCATACAAGCTCCCATAAATAAAACTAGATTTTCATGTCGAGTTTTTCGGAATGTGGCTACCTATAATAATTAAAATAAAAAGATATATATATCATAAAGTTTCAAGTACTTGAGTATCCAGCCAGGATATTGATATATTCTTACCTCTAATTTGAATGCTTCTAATGTCTTATCATCATCCAAGTAATAATCCATATTCAAGACTTTAATTGCAACATCTCCATGCCAATTGCCTCTGTATACGGTACCAAATCTTCCCGTGCCAATCGGCTCGCCAATCTTCAATTCGTCATATGGAATGTCCCACTCCCGCATCGACAACTGCAGTGCAGGATGTCAAATGAAATATATTTCCCCACGCAAGTTCATCCTTCCGCCATAATTAGCAGGATATAATACATACACTGTTTTGCCGAGGCCAACGACCATCTCCGGGTTCGCCGTCGGAAACTTGAGAATCCTGAGAATCAACTCTCACCGGTGTCCTTTCTGAATCTGTGCTAACACTACCAGATCCTGAAACACTTACTGTTCTCTCGCTATCACTCGACATTGTTGTACCTTCGAGTTTGTGCGTCTCCAGTGTCACTCCTTTTTCATTCAGTACGACGTCTGTAAGCAGGATAACTGATTTGGCTTCATACACCGAAAAAGTTTAATCATAACATGTAATGATATGTAAATATAAAATGTTTCTCCTTACCTGGGAAATGAAACTGCTGTTTGACAGGAGCCTGTGGAGTCTGGCTAGTATTGGCAGGTAGTAATGCTGGACTAGAAGGCGTTGAGCTATTACAGCTCGAAGTATTTGAACTAGAATCTGCGCCCTAGTAAACACAATAAAGAATCATTATTACAAAGATCATATTATATAGATTTTACACATGATTAATAGTAAACATCAATAATTGTAATTATCTGTACTAGTCTAGCATATAAAATACCACAACTCACACATTCCTTTGTGGATTTAAGACATATTCGTACAAGTATGCAAACAAGTTATAACATACCTGAAAAGGTATGTTCATAGAAGAGTGTGGATGTGACCGTTTCCGATCTCTTCGATTTAAAGAAGCTAATAAATTTGAATTATGGTGATTTGGAGATGTTATACCAGGCTTGCTTAATATTGGAGAAGCATTTATCATACCTGTGAATTATTTAACCAAAATAAGAAAGATGCCAGAAAGAGCCAATGAGAAAGCCGGCTATTAGATATCGGGCACGATAATTTTAAACTAACAGTGGGGGGAGGATAATAAAATTGCTTATTTTTTGTTATAATTACTGGACGAAATAAAACATCACACTTGACAATTCGCAAGTATATTCTTTAAATTTATACTTATTAAGCATAATTGAAAAAAAAATATATAGAGAGAAACGTGTAATCACATGTTGTGTAATCATTAGAATCGCAGCGAGCATCGTCTATACGTACCGTCAGCTTGTACAGTTCGTTTAAACTCGTCAAAGAGTTCCTGAGGTAGGCCACATGAGGGAGGTACTTTAGATTCACAATCTCGGTGGCATTTATATTTACACTCCTTGCATTTTAAACCAGTGCCTATGAACATTTGCTTCTCGCAGTAGTCACATGTTGTCATCATCTTAAAAGTTTTGGTAAAGCGGTGAGCAATTATATGACCCATGCCGCGGGTCACAGTCGGAGTACGTGGAGATTTTGGCACTTGTAGACTTGTTACTGAAAAATAGAAAAGAAAAAGATAGGAGAGAAACTATATTATATCGAAACGTTTCGCGTAATATAACGCTAAAATATAACTTCTCTTTTCAACACACCTGTTCCCTTAAAGCTGTTGTCATCACTTTCTGCACTAGAGTAAGGTGGTGATTTAACAGGACTATTACTGTTTGGCAAGAGACTTTCTCCTACAAAATCTGTTGTATTATAGCATGAACCTGGTTCCGTTGGTAAACGATTTCTTCTTCCTATGGCGCCAACGTGAGACTCATTTCCACAACTAAAAATATAATACAATAATGTTTAAGTATCAAATATCATTCAAGTATCAAATATCAAGTATCATTCATATTACATTACAAATATTTTATTAAAATCAAGTATATAAAAATATCATGTACCATACATACAAAACACTGATATATAATTTATTAAATTAGTACAAAACAGATTACATTAAATTATATAAAGATTGCGCAGTTAGTTATTCTAAATATTACCTAGACGTTGCATCTCCATTTTCAAGACGATCTGCTAATTGCGATTCGTGAGATTTTGACTTAGTTAATGGGAACGCTTCGGGTTGTGGCATGCTATTTTGCACACCAATCTGATGTTTCTTGCACGGTGGAGGAGTTGTTGGACATTTAATTCCTATAAACAAAATAGCAAATTATAATCTGTATAAGAGATACGTCGCTAATGTTCCAATATTAAATATTTGAGGCACGTTGTATTTGTAGGTATATATTTTCAGTAAAATTCCTTTGATTGTGCCAGGAAGAGAAATTATATCTATAGAGAAACATCTTTGTGGATACTTACCATATCCTTGCCTTGATAATAGTGGGGTACAGGGAGGACTAGTTGACGTCAAAGATGATACAGAAGAAGCTTGCGCTAATATATCACTGTTTAAATTGTTGTTATTATGATGATATGGAATGCTATCTTCTGATGGAACGGAACACCGTGTAGTACGAGATCGAATCGGCCTAGGGGAGGCCCCCGTACGTAACTGATGTCTGTCCCAAGAATCCCAGTATAAATTCATATCGTTATTTTCCATATCTCCTCTCACAAGAACATCTAAGGAAAACGCAAAACAAAAAGAGGTGTAACGCTACTTGCTTATAACCATGTACAATTGCAATTCTAACATAATCGTACATAACCATGTACAATTGCAATTCTAAAATAGCTAAAGTGATTAAAATGAGGCTGATTAGTCACCTATGTATCTTCGTAAATTATGTAATGCTCTGCACAGTCTACGAAGTTCTTCCTCATATCTTACATTATTTTCACCTAACATACTGCTCAACTCATGCTCAGACTTCTCTTTCAGGGCCTCAAGGGAATTAGCTTTGGAACAAACAATCTAAAATATTGCAATACACATTTATATAAAAGAAGAATATTTAGACTTGATTGTATTACTAAAAATTTAAATCAAAGTAAAGCATACTGATCTCGTGCAGAAAATAAAAGTAAATCATAAACAGTTTACTCGCGTCTCTGTGTATCATTACCTGGATTGATTCTGGGGCGAGACCGACAACTCGCAACCATTGTTGTAATGATGGATATTGTCTCATTTCAGCTGGTAATGAGTCTGCAGCCAATTTGGCTTTTGTTACAAGTTGTTTAGCATACAACTTTATTAGTTTCCCCTATGAATCAATATTTAAAATACAAATAGATTTTACTATATGCTGCAGTTGTGTGTGTATTACACACTGTACAAATCCCATATGACTTATAAAATATACATAATTTCTATTATGTACATGTGTGTGTGTATTGATTTTTTAATAATATACCAAACTTCTCAAGCATAGACTGAGAAAAATTCGGGGAAGACGAAAGCAAGTTCTAACAACCTGTGCGACTAATTACAAAACACGATGAGATAAAATTTCATCACGTTCTCACCGAACCATGACCATCCCGAAGTCGTGAAAATGTCAAGGAGTAAGTATAGCATGGAATAACACAGATTGATAATTTGACGTATCGCGGAAACAACAAATAGCACCGCGGACCGTGCCGACGGACGATGATCATTGAGCACGACGGGTCCCTTTTAATTTTCGAGTCGCGCGCAGACCATCATCGAGGAGTCAAAGTCGAAGTCGAGGAGCTAAAGCGTCGTTACCTCGAGCGTTCTTATCTCCTGCTGGGTGAGTTCTGCGCTGGTAGAGCATTGAGTCCGCAAGCCCTCCAGTCGATCAGCGGAGATGTCGATCATGGACTGCACGACGTCCAGAGCACGTCGGATCTCCTGCTCGGTCGCATCTTCGCCGTCCGCCATCCCTCGTCGTGCGCCAACGATCGCCGGCTCCTCCAGCGAGTCACGAGCCTCGTATTACTTGACGGGCATAATGCCGCACCGCACTGGGGCTCCCTTATCACTGGTCCTCCGAGTAACCAAACCACTTATCAACATTGACAACCATCTTGGCCGCCTATCGCATTCGTGACGTCAATCGTTGTGCTGCCCGGCGATCCGCTCCCAGACCTCACGGTGGGTTCACACCGTGCCCTAATCGTTACCTCGAGCTGATGACACTTCAACCGATGACCAATCTGAGCTACTGCCGCACAAACCCTAGACCAATCTAAAGTATACAATTTTAGACAACCATATTCTCTCTAGCTTTAGAACGGAGCATTGACACCTATGAAACGCTACTAACATCGACTAGATAGTATTAACGATCGTCGATATGGCCAAAAATGTACATACCTACAAAGCAAGACTGAAGGTAACCGAAAGATGTAGACATTGTCAGTTGTTTTTTGCCTAGAAAACTGCAGTTTTGCAAAAATATTGACGAAGCACTTATATTCGTGGGCGATATCATTACTATTTAAATGAAGGATAATTATGGAGAGAAGTAAATTTGATAGAAATATAGTGTTACTGCGCCGTGTAAATGCTACAAAACACACATTTAGGTAATAATAAATCGTAAAATTGACATACACTGCATTATAACTTCAAATATCAGCAATCAAATATCAGCAATGAATTTTTGTAATACTGTCGATTTTATAGAATCTCGTTGATGAATACGATTAAGGTAATAATGCAGCTTGCCAAGGCAACGGTACGTCACGAGCATTCTGTCTCTTTTCCTGCAAACTCTCTGACATTGTCGAGTTTCTGCGGTATACACGATAAACTGTAACTCTGGAACTACCACCATCACAGTCATTAAATGACGTGCAAAGAATATAATTTAAATGGCACTCATGATTTATAGGAATTATACAAAAAGGCCATTATCATAAAAATCACGTCACACCAAACGATAAGAAGCTAATCGACATACCGTTATATATCGAAGGAATTTCCATTCAGTGGGTTTGCGAGACCTACGACAAATTGTTGTGCAATAATCTCGCTTGGAGGAAGTGTCGTTTGGATTCATCGTCGAAGTACTTGGAGTTTTCGATTCGAGTAATCTTTCATACTCGACGAAGCGACTCATTTGCGGGCTGTGAAGCCGATATGATCCAGGTAAGCATAGTCTTGCAACGATATAAGTACGAAAAAGTACAAGTGCCTGCTGTACAATGCATGTAGCATGAGAATTGACTGAATCAGGGATAAGGATCATTCAAGGACACCGTGATTGCTTCCGACACCATTTATTATATGTAGCGCACATGAGCAGGTATCGGTGTTAAAGCATCGAGATAAAAATATCGATACTCTGCATCGAGGCACTCGCTCAAGGCACGAAGTGCGAATAGCTGTTGTTAAACGCGCACATGCATGCATATATGCACACACGCGCACATGGAATAATCCGATATCGGCGGCGAAATCTCGATGCCGGAGGACACTGCGACGTTGAGAGCGGGAGTATCGATACGTACGGCGAAGTATCGAAGTATCAGTGGCCATCCCTACCAAAACGGCACTTCCGTGCCGTGGATGCGCGAATGGCCGATACTGTCGTTTCTGTCAGACGCACCGATCACCGCTACGGAGGAATCATGTGAATGTCCGTCGGAGGACCGCGAGAGAAACGTATGCGACGCGTCTGAGGTCGGTCGGTCGTAGTGAAACGGAGACGGGAGTGGTTGGAAGCGCGCGCGAGTTTACGACGGGGGCGAGCACGGGGAAGCGAGGCAACGGCGGCGGTGCCGTTGGATGTCAGAGCGAATCACACACGGAAGGGTAATCCTCGTTCCTCGGGTCAGAGGGCTTTAAACGGGCGAGACAAAGCGGGACACCGGGGTGATTCTGATCGTCGTCACCGCCCGAAATACGCGCGTGTGATCGGGAATCACACTCGCGGTTTGTGTGTAGGCGAGAGAGAAAGAGAGGATGATGCGTCGTCGTTCGCCACAGTGATGCCGCCGCCACCGCGAACTTTGTTCACACGCGCCGCTTGTTTTGCATCGTTAACTGCAATCGAACGGATTCGTTTTACTCGCACGCTAATGGCCCGTGCTGATAGATCGCGGGACTGACCAGGCGAGGCGAGCGCAGCGGACAGGGATCCCAGCGCAGCGCGGAAAGAGAGATTCACGGGGCGAGGGATTCTCTCCCTCGATCGCGTCATCGTCGTAATTCGTCTCGTCGTTTCTCCCGGAGAACATCTCCACGTATATTGAATTAAAGATACAACGAGAACGCACAGTCACTCGTGTTCTTGAGAAGGAGTTGTAACCTTGTACGTCATCTGTACTATCATTTCACGAAAATGTTTGTAAATACCACATGCTGCTTCTAAGTATGAAATAGGATATAAGATCAGCTCTCATGTGAGATGACTCTTTCTTTGAGATAACTCGAGATAACTTGACTTAGTAATGTTTCATCAGTAGCTGGTATTTATTGCTCATCGTTAAGCTATTTGACTTGCTTGGAAACATGAGACTTGTGTACAGCTGATATGAAAGCTTCTCAAATGAGATCCCTGGTCTTTAAACACAGTAATTACAAGAGATAACACTGTTAATTGAATATTAATCTTACAGATTTAGTTATGGAGGATAGCATGAGTGTAAAGTCTATGGAATCAGTGGCGACAAGCGACGAATATGAATTTGTAAATGAAAGAGGTACTAGCAAGCAGCAACAAGCTCTTTTGGAACCACCTATGCTAAAAATTGCCAACAACGGCAATCTAGAGGATCTGCAAAACAATCTTCGTGAGGTTTGTAAGCTTATCAGTCTTGTTAATTGGAAACATCTGACATAAATCAAATGTACATATATTTTGCATACTTTATTTCCTAGTACTCAATTCTTATTGGCCCTTTTTTACAAAGTTCTTTTATTTCAGAGCCTTTTAATGTATTAATTTTTTATATAAATCAACAATATAGGTGAATTCAATAATAGTAGATTATTATCTGTTTTATATGACAACATAGGTTTTAACGGAGGACTTGAAGATGGAGTGTAGTGAATTCAAGTCGACAGGTGCCAGCAAACAGAAGACGAAAAAAGTAGGCCATAGCAAATTCTATGATGTTAGTTCTTGTCTTGTTGCATCCGAAAAACAGGATATTATGAAGCCTGAAGATTACATTGAAGAAGGTAACTTGTCCAACAAGCATATCTCCTACGAATATCAGCAATATTAAATCAATAGGCAAACTCCAAGTTTACGCATATATTTATGCTGACAGAATTAAGCACATTATCGCACGTTCAACAAGAATGCACCATTTTCAATGGTGTTACTTACCTGGGAGCAGCTGCAATAAATGCACCAAAATCGGAATGTGAAATACAACGTAACATGCACATACTGAATGCAGAGCAATCTTTGAATATAGGAATAAAAGTTTCCGTCTCAGTCCCGAGTAGTTCGCAAGGCTCGGTCGTGTAAGTGAACTCAAATTTTAATTTTAACATATAGAATTCAATTTCCTATATAACAAGTAATATCTGTTTTTTCCTTTCAGTTTATACGATTCCGCAACACAACAAGCTATCGCCCATTACGAAGTGCAACGTATACTATTTTATGCACGTGGCGAAAATACTGGTACTTGCGCGGCGTGTTTCGCTTTCACGTGGTCGCACGGCGATACTTTAGAATCTGCCATTTATCAGTGTCATGTTTTTCGTTGTGACATACCAGAGGCGGTATGTTTCAGTAGCAGTCTATTATTAAACATAGTAATGCATGAAAAATATTGACTTCAGGTTAAGTGTTGTAATATTATATAATTTTGTTGTAATTTATGTTATTTTGTTGTTATTTATGTAGAGACGAAATGAGAGTAAAAATTTCATTTAATTTCATCAGTGTTTTGATATATCTCATTCTATAATTGTGTTCTATCTTAGGTTGGGCAAGTGTCAGCCTGCTTTTCAAAAGCGTTCCACAGAATACCACGTTCAATGACGGGTTCTTTGACGGGCAGCGATTTCAATGGTTTCAACGCTGGCAATGAAAAAGTTAACTCCAGAGTATTCATTTTCGAAGTGACCATGGAAATAAAGGAAGAAGATGGGAAAGGCGGCTTCAGTACGGTCCCTAAGGATAGAAATTGTTTTAAATTACGAAGTAACGTGGCGAAACAAGTTTGCTTAAGCATCCAGCAAGTGTCCAGTAAAGAAGGCGGCATTACACTCGAAGTAGAGAGGTGTTTCGGAGTTCTCGTTAGCCCCGGGCGAAATGTTAAGCACAGCGATATGCGACTACTCGAGATGGTAACGAGAGATTCACTCCAGCCAGTTAATTTTATGTCTATAATCACCTCAGATGTTCGCAATATTACGACAATTTTGCAGCAAGTTAATACTGGACCAATAATGCAAGACAAACAGTGCTATAATATTTGCGGACGCTGGGACCCCGCCGATCCCGCATTGGAAACTCTCAATATAGAAACCCCTAGAGAGGGTAAAATTTTCATAACTATCGCCGTTGATCTCGTTATCAGAGACATTCGGGAACCAGTGAGATTTGTGATAGAGACATCAGTCAAAGTATTTCCACAAAACGAGAGATTTTGGTACTTTAACAAGAGAAATCTCGTGCAACAGTTTTATCTGAATTCTAAAGAGGTAAGATAAATCGTATACACTTATAAGAAATTGCATTTTATAAGCATGTGTTGGTTCATCATGTCATATATTATTTTTCATAATTGTATATCGTTCTCTTTATAACAGGTAATTTCCGGAGACGGTGCGGAAGTACATTATGAAGTACAAAGTATAGAAACATCTGGCGAATTAGATAGAAACAGATTAAATCTTGCACTGAACTTGGCATCCTTAATTAGATCACCGTCTTTAACCAGTATTGACACGCTTACGCCTAAAGAAGAAATAGATTCAGGTAATAAGTCAAACTGTAGAAAAAGAACTGGCTTGCTAATTCAATGATAAAAAATATAATTTCAATTTTCATATTTAGATGGAGATGAGCCGATGTTAAGTGGTACAGGTGAAGTTTCAAAGGACTGCTCAGCGGACGAATTGGCTAGCTGGGCTGAGGTTTTAGACAGTTGGCAGACTAACGAGCAACGTCCGAAGCTTCTCGTAAAACTCGCGAAGCAAGGGATCCCTGAAGCTTTACGTGGCGAAGTTTGGCAACGTTTGAGTAATTGCGACAGTTCACAAGAGATGATGGACAAGTACAGAATGTTAATTACAAAAGTGAGTACTTGATTTCAAGATACAAAAATAAATATATGAGTATTATTTATATAATTTTAACAATGAATATACAGGAAAGTAGCTGCGAGAGTGTGATTTTAAGAGATATCAACAGAACATTTCCGGCGCATGATTTCTTTAAAGAAACGGGAGGTTTAGGGCAAGACTCCTTATACAGAATAAGTAAAGCATACGCTGTTCACGACGAAGAAGTTGGATATTGTCAAGGCCTTAGTTTCTTAGTTGCTAGTCTACTACTTCATGTAAGTGATTATTGTAAACTTTTGTAGAGACTTACAAATGATAGACTACAGCAGTTTGTAAAGTATTTCACCGAGAAAAACGAACTTATGTATTTTTTACAGATGCCCGAAGAACAAGCGTTCTGTGTTCTGGTCAAGTTAATGTACGACTACGGTCTTCGAGATTTATATAAAGACAGATTTGACAACCTTCACATGCGATTTTATCAATTAAATCGCTTAATAGAGGTGAACTATAATTCTGTTCTATGCATACATAATGATAATATTTCAGAATCAGCTTTTAATGTATTTCTATGGTTGATTTCTAGGATCAATTACCAGAATTATACAAGCATTTCTGTGATCGCGGCGTGGAAACGCACATGTTCGCCGCACAATGGTTTCTAACTCTATTTACGGCTAGGTTTCCATTATACCTTGTTTTTCATATTCTGGACGTATTTCTTTTACAAGGACTCGATACACTTTTTCAAGTTGCCCTCGCTTTGTTAATGGTAAGTCCTCATAGCCTTTTAGAAAGTTGATAATTGGTTTAATGATAGTGTATAAATGAATTTATCAGTTGACACAAATTCCTTACATCTATCTCACACAGTATACTAGGCATAAAAAATAAACTTTACTCTCTTGTAGTTGTGTAAAAAGGAGTTATTACAATTGGATTTTGAAAGTATCTTAAAGTACTTTCGGGTGCATTTGCCGAAACGTTGTCGGAACGAGGAGGTATCACGCCATGTTATGAAGTTAGCTTGTTCGGTGACGCTAAAGAAGTTGAAGAAGTACGAAGCAGAATTTATGACACTGAAAGGTAATTTCATATTCTATGTTTAAACTGCACCAAACTCCCCCTTCCTCCGGTCCACGTTTAAATTCAATGTTTCGTCGACTTATTAGACGACATTGTACATCATGTTATCCATGCATGCGTCTCCATGTATGGTTCAGTGATTATTGCCTGTTGGTTGCGAATTCGTCTTTGTTATGGGTTAGAAGCGTTCATTTCCTGTTGGTTGTGAATTCAATATGGGTAGAAAGCTTTAAATAATACTAGATATATTTAAAAAACCAAAGAGTATGATGAGTTTTAGTGCAAGGATTTTCGTTATTTAAAAAAATATATACACAGATAGGTAATCGCCGCGGTGCGGCGTCCCGTTGCAGGATATAACTCCCGTCCTGTGAGTGGCGGAAGCCATACGGCAGGTCTATCGGGTAAACTTAAAGTAGTAATAATATAATAGAAATTACTAACTTTTTTTTTAACTTATGAAAAAAAATTAAACGTCACAAAATATTAGATATAGAATAGATACGCATGAAATACATATAATACTTTTAAACCAAAACACAATGTCTCTAGTCTCACGTATTACACGTAGTCAATTTATCTGTCTAAACAGACATCGTATTTAATAAATATAATAAATTTTTACGACATAGCTCTCTATAAAATATTCAGAAACACAAAGCAGGCATTGCACAGTTACTTTATTGTTAGGTGGTGGTCGCTTCGCTATATATCATTTCTTTAAGCCAGGTATTACCATACGACGAAAAATCACAATTACTTAAGAAAATAAGAAAATTATTTTGACAAACATTTCTCGATAAAAAATTTTCTTTTAAGAACACAATATATCTTTTCTTCAGGCTACTACTCTATCTAATATTATTATTGTAAATATCTCACTATTTGTAATGAGATATGAAAATAATACTGCTCAATGGTTTAATCGTCACATAATGTATAACGTAATTTGATATCAAAGTATTATGTGAGTAACATTTTTTTTTTTCAACATAGGAGTCTTAGTTATCACCAGATCGATAATTGTCACACATTTTCTTTATAATTTTTCTGATTGAATTTAATGGTGGATTTATGGACAACTGATGAAAATATTATAAACATTATAACGCAATCTGCAGTATCTTGAATACTCATGCTACAAATAAAAAAATCGTCACGCTGTATTTTTTTCGTGTTATCATCAATATATGTGCTGTGAACAATACAATAAATTAATAATAATTGTTATATAAGAAAATTTTATGTTATATTAAGTTTTTCTGTTTGGAATAAGTTTAATTTTTATAAGAAATTTATTTTTTTTCTTTCTAAACCTTCTCGAAAAGAACATATTTGTTATTAAATCCCCTGCTTTATCAGCCGTACTGCTTCCATATGTGACCTTGTATTTTATACCCCGCTTTTTATTTATACATTATTTATTATTGCTTACTGAAAATAAATCATCCGACACATACTTTCAGTTTTATGAATTACCCCGTTTACTTTATCCTTTACAAATATATATCCCATTCCTAGTCAATATCTCGTAGATATCTGTACTTCTTGCCTTTGTACTTTCCATTTCTCGCTGTATTTAGTTAAATATGCATGGCGCATCGTGGTTTCGAGCCAGCACTTGTTTGTGCCGCACTAACTGTACTGTATTAGCTAGTTCCTGTGTGTTATACCTGTTACAAAAATAATGTATCCCAACGTGTGTGCGCATTAAGTATCACGATTAACGTAGAAAAGCAAAGTAGAATGCTTAAATAATAGAACTTTGTGCGATAATGTGTACTCATAATTAAAGAAAGATTTAATCTAAAGATTCTATCGTAAATGTATAATTGTGTCATGAGAAGTTATTATCTATGTGTATATATATATATATATATATATATATATATATATATATATATATATGTCATTTGCCAGATTGTGTTGAAGTATGTGCTGTCTGATAAGCAGTAGTGAAACGACCACATATTGTGTAGTTGCATTGGTTTTTCGTGTCTCTATACTAAATCAAAAAATATTATTTACATAAATTCTAAATTTAGAAAATAAAAGTTGTTTTTTTATACCTACAATTAACGATTTAAAAATTACAGTGCGGATTTTTTATAATAAGAGATACAGAATATTTATCTCAAACGTGGACGAAATCAGACAGCTTTGAAAAAATATTTTTTAGTCAGATTTGCATTTCTGACAATGTTACAATATTGAGAAAAGCTCTCGATATTTGCGAATATATAGTTGCTCATATTATCGTCACTTCTTAAAGACATATCGTCAAGTAGGAGATACGTAATATACCAGAGGTTTAAATTTGGCCTTAGTGTATTTTGTACAGCAGTATATAGCAGAAGCGATTGCTTGTGCTAATGAGATATCGTGTATCTGTCAGTTACATTCGGAACATCTGTTTTAAATATACTAGTGACACAAGAATGAGCCACGCAGTAAAAGAGCTAATGAAGAGTAAGCGTAATAAATATGTTTATATAATGATTAAAATGTGCAATGCTTGAAAGTTACTTTGTATTGCATAAGTAGGATTCAGATTTAAAAAATGGAGGAAAATTACATTTTAAAACAAAATATGTGTTTGACTAAATTAACGATTCGACATTTTTACAGTGAAAATATAATTCGAGGAAAAGTGAAATATGTCTTTAAAGAACAAGTTCTATAAAAATTATATCATACAGTTAGAAGTTCGTAAATAAATACTCGTGATTAATTTTAATAAATAGCACACATCATTTCATATATTTCTTACATTTTATGTTGTAAAAATGCGATCAACATTTCGTTATATGAGAGTGATTTATTTTTAATATAGAAGCGCAGGAAAACGCCGACGAATATAGCAATGAAGTGGAGCAATTACGCGGTGCAGTGGCTCGAAACGAAGAAGAGAAACAGAGGTTGGAGGCAGAACTGTTGCAAGTTAAGGAGATGTTACAGCGCGAGGTAGCTCGGGCGGATGCTGAGAGCCGCAGGAGCAACGTTATTATAGCAGAGTATAAGCAGGTACTGATTCACGTGATGTTACGAAGTCTCAGATAGTCCGCTCAAGTATTACGTAGAACTGCAAGAGTTGTTTTGCATGTTCCAGATCTGCCAACGTCTAGAGGACGATTACAATGCCGCAAAGATGACATTAAGCGAATTACGAGTGCGTAATCTCTTTTACCACGACTTTATTGCGTTAAACAAATGCTTTGTTATGTAATAGATTAAGACAATAATGTGTTTTCAGACAAAAGTTTCAAAGTGCGAAAAATGTAGAACATGTATAATGGACTCGTCAAATATACTGGCGGACATAGCGCATCCACTAGAGAATCGAATAGATCCTATGCTACACAGAGTGCAGGAGAGAGTGCGCGAACTGGAGTTGGAATTGGCACAGACGAAATTAGCTCACGTTGAGGCGGAGTGCCGAAATCAGGTGAATGATGAAAGTACAGTATATCCCGCTAAATTGATTTCTCGAATACGAAATCCAATGTGAACTGTCTCACAGGATCTGACACATCAGTTGCACGCTACAGCTTCTGAATTGCAAGCTGCACGAAATAGTTGGCCATGGTTCAGTAAAACCTTATTCAGCATAAAAGAGGGAACCAACAAGAGAGAGGTTTTGGCTCCAGCTACACTGAGAGATCTGAGACGCGACAGCGCACCCGGAGGTGATCTACACAACCTGATACATGCTCGAAGTCGCGAGGCTCGCGACAATCTCAAGGAGGTCGTGTGATGAGTAAGTATCCCCTCAAGTGTAGAACAGTTTTAAAAATTAAATTCAAACACGAAAATAGAGCCTACGAAAACACGTAGAGTAGTCATTGTAGAGTAGTCTCATAGATAAAAACATTATTTATCTTTTTATTGTGCTTACTAATATTTTTATTATGCAGACAAAATGCCGATAAGGAGAAGAAGGATACGCATATCTCGACGAGTCGTGTGCTAGGCACGACATGCGAGCATAACGTACGTTCGTAATTACGTGTAATATTCGTCTCAATTTGTTAACAAAACTTAATGTGCATTCTTTATCACGCTCTACACGCACCACACATTAAGTACTTTCGACCAGGGCAGTCGCACTTGTGTACCGCTAATATTTTATCGAAAATGTTATGATTCCATTAGGTTTCTAAAGTTTATTTGTTTTGTTTCTTTTTCAGTAACTGCGAAAATAACTTTTGTTGATATTGTTTTATGTTTACCCACTTCTCTTCCTTTCATTCAGCCACGCGAGACATTACTTGATGCGAAAATTTACATGACACTACGCGGATGATTAACAATCAGCAATCTACCGGGAAGAATATCTTGTTGCGTATTTGAACGCGATGAATTATTTACAATAATAGGAAATAAGAATAAATATATATGTATACATGCCGCGTTTTGTATGAAACTAGTCTAAGTATGAAAGGGAGAAAGTGCAGTAGAAACCTTCTACTGTATATATACGTATGTGTGTGTGTGTGTGTGTGTGTGTGTGTGTATATATATATATATATATATATATATATATATATATATATATATATATATATATATTATATATATAATATATATATAGTTGCTTTCAAGTGACACAACAAATACGCGATTGCGGAAATCGGTATATTTATATTGCAGTAAATAACCAAGAAATTGGTAAAGTTGTTCTGTTTACTTTTCTATTAACTAATTTTAGCTCGATCACACAACGTAACATTCCGAAATAGCGTGAGTGCGTTTTTTTCTTCCATACGAGTAGACGTCTTTGTTGTTAAGCTTGCTATTCCACATAAATGATTTCGAAGCTTGACGGATTATATAACGTATTATAATATGTATGTATAATTACTCACACAAATAGCGTTAGATTAGGTTTGATATCGAGAGCTTTCGTTACTTTAGTTTTTACATGTACCTTTTGTCACCGATAAACACACACGAAGCATGTAATATTTTATCTCCCTGCCCCGTCTCACTGTGGAGCATTACTCGTAAGAATCTAGAAAATAGACGCGCGTGTACACGTTTGTAAATGATGCATTAGATGCGAGATACTCAAGAATCCCGTTTAGTTACAATTTGCACTCTGTTTCGACAAAGTCTGTAGCAAGACGGACACCTATTATTAAAACCATAGATCATGGTATTAAGGCACTACTTAAAAATGCAATTGCATCAATGTGTAATTTTGTCTAATATATAAATGTTTCAAAGGATAAATTTGCTATATATATACCTATACATACACACACCACACATATACACACGCACTTCTGACTATCAAACTTAGCTTCGTAAGTCGTGCCACGCATTTACTTAAGTAAATTATTTATTTATACGGAGTTACATATACAGACATGAAAGGATTGAGAGTCAATATGTAATGGAATATGATTAAAACTGTTCATGTTGCAATTACAAGCAGACTCCTCTGTGCCATCGCGTTATACAATGGAGATTTATTTGAAGCACCGATTTATATATGTAACGTTTACTTCATTTTCTTGTTGGGCCGAATTGACCGAGTAGGTAACGAATCTAAGTAACGAGTAATATGTACACGATTGCAAGCAAAGTTTATGGTCACTTCTTGGCTTACACTCTACACGATTAATCACTTGTATTACTCAAGATGGAAAATTTCATTTCTGTAAATACTTATAAAAGGAAACAAATTCGCGTACTAACAGGATCATGTAAAGTCTTATAGAGTAACTACGTATGAACCATTGTATACCCTGTAATTCCATTCCACTATTATTGAAATAAAGAAAGATATCACATCTCTCCATGTAAGATATTTAATATCAGAAATCTTGTGACTTTTTTTCTCGCACGTATTAGGTTAAAGCTAAACTAAATTGACAATTAATTAAGAACATTACCTCTACTCAGATTCTATATCGATTTATTTGTCCAAAGTCTTTGCATCATTACGAACATAATTATATACAGTTTCAGTCTTAGGTGTATACGTAGGGAATTATAATAACTTATATGAGATATAATTCCAACTTAACATCAGTAATTTATCACTTCGGTGTATGGAGCATTTCAATCAACTATCGGATGTCGCATACATGTATATTAAAATTTAATACATCAAAAAACGCAACTTACTAATAAATTTTCATATATTACATTATATAAGATTGAAAACTTATGTAACATCCGATAAATTAACTCCATAAAAAACTTGAATCGTAAAAAAATATGTGTGTATATGTGTATACAAATATAAATGTAAGACATATATTAATTTATATTTATATAGACATATGCGTCTATATACATATATGTTATATGTATATATTTGGGTGTGTCGGAGAATGCGCTAAAAACGTTACCGCGTCATTCTATCGCTTTATCGCTATTCAGATGTTCAATAAATATAAAATGAAACAGTAGCGCTAAATAGCTCTCTGATAGTATACTCTCCAAACGCACTCATGTATACATATGTATAATATATGTGCGTATATCATACACATATATACGTTAAGTACGAAATTTTGATGTTTCAACAACAAGAATGTTTAAATAGAAACGTATAATTTTCAATGAAATAGAAACGTATAATTTTCAATAAAATAGAAACGTATAATTTTCTCATTATTAATCCCATAATAAGTTAATAATTAATAAGTTTCCCATTGATTAATATGTTATATTAAAAAAAAAAAACCATATGACAAAATCCTTGTAGTTATACCTTTAAATTTACAACAAAAGAGTCAATGAGATATCTGTAGAAATAAAAAACATCTGGAATACATATTTGCTCTCTCTCTTTAATTCAAATATAAAAATAAAACACCTAATTATTCTTAATTAGTATATAGTATTAAGTTAAACATAGTATTAGTATAAAATCATATGATGATCAGATCTACTTTATCGTCACAAAATCTTATATTGTAATGCAGTTGAAATATTTACTAACATATATGAATAAAGGATTTATAAAAAGAAGAAAGGTGAAAAGAAAAAGGCATAGGAGGTAGTTAGGTGTTAGAACGCGACTTACTAATAAAAACGACGAACTTGTGAATCCTTTCAAAGCTATTTGCCAGGACGTTTAATTTGTCCATAAAATATCTAAAATGCGAATAAAAATTATATGTTACTTTACCTTTAAAGCTGACATCGCAAGCTATGTTGCGAGCTTCAAAAAGTGATATGTAGGCGCACATTGATCTGCCTCAATCATAAATTCTTCGTCATTTCTTTCCTCCTTTCTTTCTTCATTCTTTATCATTATGATTAAAAAAATTTTGTTTGTTCACCAAGCTCGTTACTATTTTCCATTTCATTCTTTGTATCGCTATCATTCATCAGAGGAACTACTGTCGAAACCTTCATCATGGTCCATATAATCAACATCTAATAACAAGAAAAATATCCAGTTTTTAAAACGCACAAATGCGAAAATAAAAAAAACAGAAGATACAATTACCTGCAACTTCATGATGAACCCTAAGATTCTGTCCATCAAAATCAAGCGGGTTTGCCATGTCCAATATTCTCAACAACCACACGGGGAAACCGTTTTCCAACGCATATATATCGTTTTCATTTTCGAGATCGTTTTCCAGTACATCGATAAGTGGTTGCAAACCCTCGATATCATTGCCTGCATCCGCAGCCATCATGTTGTTACCTTCGTTGTCCCTGTTGTTATTCGCCAAGTCACCGTTCTCTACCTCGATCGGTTCTAAAACACCAAGTCGCGGCGCCTCCGCGACACTCGGCGACTCTGTATCGGGAATATGATCTTGGGCTATGCTGGACAAATCATTTTCCGGCGTGATGTCCTGCCCGGAGGCCGAATTCGGATAACCGGAATCCACGATCTCGTGCGACCAACTGTCCGGAGGAGTCTCAAAGGTGGGAGAAGGTAATTTAGCTTCGGCGCTGGCTATAAATCCGGCGACGCTCGACGTATTTACATCCTTATTAGTAGAGTTCTTTATATCACATACGACGTTCTCGTCACTTCTTAACAGTGACTCGAACTGAACTACTTTATTATTTGCATCCTCATCACACGATTGAAAACTCTCATCCGAATTGTTTTCTTTGGCACACATAGAAGACGAGCATTCGCTGGTGTTCCCAGATTTGATGTTCGATAACTCTCGAAACGGACTTAAGCTCTTGTCGCTTATACTTGAATGTGCGACAACTCTGTTTCCATCTTGTAAATGAGTTTCCGTGTCGTCGTCGCATAGTTTAATCACCGCTGCTTTTGATTTGCGACATACATATCCTTTAGCCGACGATAAGACGCAATGTTTATCCAATGTATATCTTTGTACTTCCGCGATATCAGTCTCATATTTGATTAGATTCCCTTTTCCTGTAGTTTCCTTACTTTCTCGCAGCAAACCTACAGCAGTGGAGTGATCACTATCAACTATTTCACTCTTTAAACACAGCTCTGGCTGTGAATTATTGCTAGATGAACAGTTCGCATCGGTTTCGCGTTTTGAAGTGGCATTTTTGCTATTAGAAGTTACCTCATGATTAATTGTTTCTGTAATAATACTATCACTACACAAAGACTTTTGACTAGTATCTTTTAACGTAGCAGTGTTCGGTATAACGGCACTAATTGCTTCTATCGGAATTAATTCGGTGTAACTCTCCAATGCAGATATTAGATCATCACCTTCCAAACAGCTTTGCTTAACAGTGATAATAGGTTCTTTTCTATTGTTACATTTTGGAAACTCAAAATCAATGTCTGAAACTGCAGCTAATTCTTCGGACGAGCGATGAAGAATGTTGTGACGAGCAAATTCCGTCGAATGTTCCTCATCATATAAATATTCTTGAGTAGAAACAATTTGATTCTCCATATTAATGGTACAGGTAGTGCGCAGTTTGTTACAAATTCTAGGCGAACTTGTTGATTGTGGTTTATGATAAACACCACTGAAATCATGTTGTACCTCCATTTTTATCATTTTATCATTTGACGTATTTTCCAAGACTCGATGTTTCACTGAATCAACGTTATTTAGTTCAATATTACTAGAATTTCTCTCAAGATAACTCAAAGATGTATGCTCTGATAAATCTTTCTCCTTCAGAGAAAGTGCTTCATTCATTGAGGATGTTTCTGTAGGAAGTTTTACAATCGTAATTGCTTCATTCGATACTTCAGATCTCTGAAAAGTACTATTTAATAAATTTTGAGAAATCAATGAGTCATCTAAATCGGGACTAAAGAGAAGTCCCGGTGATGTCGAAGAACGGGAAATAGATAGATACGGTTGAAAACTTGATATCGTATCATCGTTATTCGGTATACTACCTAAATTTATACCGACATCTTGTGATACAGCCTGTAAGGAGTTTGTAGTATCAAACGTAATATCATCATCTATTTCAATTACATTGTTCGTCTCTGTCGTATTTGAAGCGCAAGGATCACGTTCACTTCGCAAAACTTCTTTTTCACAAATAAATCTCTCTCCATTGTTCGTCATTGTAGACACGTCCGTGATATCCGCAGTATGTACAACTGTTGTGTGAGCATCTACAGTGTGGGCATCTGCACCCCACTCTTCAGATGAGCGATGATGGTCTGCCAAATGTTCTCCATCAAATAAATAGCTATTCTCATGATTGGGAACAATTTGGTTCTTTGCAATAACAATGGATTCTTCATTCCAATCGTCTTTTTCATATACAGCATCACTACTTGTATCATACACTTCCATTAGTTGTTCTTCATCCTCAGATAGATAGTCATCAATGAATGTGTCTTCTAGAGTATATATTTCTTCCATTTCCTCCATCATATCCATCATATCCATTTCATCCGTTTCAGAATATTCAGGAAGAATTACTACCGGACCACTTTCACGATCTTCGATAACATAATTATTTTCACTCATAATGTCTCTTAATATTTCTATCGATATGGAATATTTATATATCATGTTCTGTAGTCTAGCTAGATCTATTTCGTTCGATTCCTCCTTAAGCTCAAACACTATTTTATTGATACAATATGATACTTCATCCAGCACCTTTTGTGTGTCTGAACGGTCATCCGTGTGGACAGGATAATCATATATCTTTATTGTCTGAAATAATTCTTCTACTCCTGCAATTTCTATGCTTGCATTTGGTTCTCGATTTAGTTCGAATATCGCCATCTGCGAACACGCACCTAAATGTTTCGTGTCTTCGGGTCCATAACAGACTCCTTGGAATCTTACACTATAATACGAGTATTTCCTCACGATATCCTTTGCCCTATAATATAAGATTAGTATAAGATTAGTATAGTATAATATTAGATTAATATAAGATTAGTAAATTACTTGATAAAATTAGGAAACTGGCAAAAAAACCATATAACTCACCAGTCTTCGAATTGTTTCCTTGTCCATTCAAATTTATGATCTGGGTGTCTAAATCCTCTAAGATTTGGAAATACCACATTAAACTCTACATTTGGCGTCGTTATTATTACTACTTTTGGTTTGATGTATGCAAAAATATTAGTAGGAAGATCGGACAATTCAGGAGTGTGCAAATGCTCGATTCTAAAATTAAAACGCATTTTTTTCTAAACAGAATAAGGAAGATATATACTCCAGCATTGATAAAAGCATTGATAAATCCGATAAAAGAAGATAAAAAAGAGAAAGAAAAGCAAGAGAAACAATTCTTATAAAATTATGTTCATACGATGTGACATACAATTCAATGCACACTACAGCATCAGTTTTCTCTAACTTCTTATCATTGTGTGTCACGCTGCCTTCATATATTCCAATCTTGAATCGTGTTTGCCGCCCAAAATGGTCTGTTAATAATGGTGCAGCTTTAAATTTATGCTGTTCCAAAATGTCCCTGTCCACATCAACAAAAAGTATTTCCTCCACTCCTTCAAGATATTTCATATAAGGCAGAAAATTTAGATTGGCACATCCAAAGTCCACAATCTGTTGAAAATATTCAAAATATAGCTATTGTCTAAAGATAACCTCGATAACCTTGATAATCATTTGACAATGTATAATACAAGTAATATTTGTAGAACATATTGCAAGTAGTATACTATGTAAATTTTATATATATATATACATATATATATATACACATGAAACAACTATGTATGTGTGTATATAGGATATCCTAGATCTACCATATTGTCTTTTACATGAAAATTTATTGACTGGGATTAATCTTTTTTAAAAAATTTATCAATAACTTTATAAGTAGTTAAATAAAAGATTTAAATTATAGTTTCAGAGAAAAAAGAAGAAAGAAAATATATAAGAAAAGAACAGATAATCAATTTTAACAGAGCATTGAATATTAACACCGAGATCTATTGATATTCCCACGAATTATAAAAATATTAGCTGCAAATTGTCGATTTATAAATAAAAATAGCATTGTAAGACATTATAGTAAGATGGCTTGATAAGCATCTAGTAATGTAAATGTCCCAATAATTGAACTAATAAGCATGATCAGTTTTATGTTTTCATAAACAGTTAATGGAATTATTAAAAAATTAACATTTATATGAAACTTAAGTTTGTCAATGATCAAAAAATAATAGATAATAAAATAACCAATAAATATTAATATAATTTTAATAAGATATTAAATAATGTTGATTGTACTAGTAATTAAATTGAAAAATGAATCATATCTTAATTACCAAGTAATATAGACTCAATGATTAAATAGTCATTAATATTTTACGAATTAGTATAAGGAAATATTTTGTAACAAAATTTTTAATTTTTTTAGAAATATTATATAAGTATATTATTAAAGTATATTAATTAAATATAAGTAATATATTAAATAATATACAAGTATATTATTGTATCAATCATTAGAATAAGATTCTCAATTACTCAATTTACTGGAACATTTACATCATGTACATCATATTTTATTTATCAGACAATACTATTTCAAAGTGAATAATACAGTTTCTAAAAGCATTTGATAATATGTTTTATGTCTTTTAGAAACAGTAAATTAAATAGTTTAAGAATGGCTAGAAAATTTGCGCACAATTGCGCAAATTGCATTGTATAGAACAATATCAACTGAAATTCGTTATATTCGTAAGAACAACACAATGTAACAATGTTACCTTTCGCACTTTGTTTGCGTACTTGGGCTCCTCAAGTACACTCTTTACAGCTAAGTACCTCTGTATGTATGCCGGTGGCGAGAATTTCACTGGGTTTAAAAATTTCTGCAACGGAAGCTTTTCGTACTCATCTTCAATATCGACTTCGTAATCGTCGGGGGGATGTCGGCTACCCGCTGTTTCGTCTTCCGTGCCATCGTTCGATGACGACTTGTTTGTCCTCCTGTCTTGATAATTATCGTAAACGTATTTGCCAAGCAAATAAACTATATGAAATATTACGAAAAACATGTTCGTAGGCCTTTATTTTTCGAAACCTTCTCACAAGACCTTCATCTCGTTCTGCGCCGTTCTGCGCGTACAATACACTTCAGGACTCGAAACTCGCCCTTGTAAAAATTGGATCCTGATCTGCAGTGCTATCTGCGCCTGGCCCCGGATGTGTTCAAACTAAATGGATGACGTCAGGCGGAGTGGGGTTGCATATCCGGGGTCAGACGCAGATGGCATTAGGTATAGGTGGTATAGATAGTGCCATCACGCATAAATTTATCAGCTAATAAATAAATAATAAATTTATTAGCTACTACTTATTAGATGTTCAGGAGACATCCAGAGTATGTCCTGAGAACGTCCTGGGGATGTTTCTACGTCCTCAGGGCATCTCTGGGACGTCCCCAGAAGATTTTGTGTTGTATTGGAATGTATAAAATGCAAATTAAAAAGATCTTTTCAACAGAAAATAAATCTTAATCGTCACTGTTTTGTTTGGGTTGCAATGGTACTTATTCGGAATAATACAGAGTTCTAACAAAAAAAATTAAGAAATAATAACATTAAATATTAATAAAAATACAAGCACAATATGTAAATAAATAAAATATGATAGCCATATACTAAGTATAAAAATTTTAAAATCCTTTTATTCAATTATAAATAGTATTGAAAATTCTACAAGCTACAAGTAAAAATAACTTCTGTAAAAATAACAGTAACAAGATGAACCAGAAAGCATTTTACAACTTTACGGGTCTAAATTGAAGGCTCTACCTAAATGGCACTTTGACTTTAATCACTTACAGCAAACGAACAAAAACGGTGTACAATATTCATTCAGTAATGAATAAAAAATTAAAAGTTCCTTTAAGACATACTTATCGTATTTTTTTTATAAAAATTATTTTTTAGTGTAAAAACTCGATTAAAAAATGCGATTAAATTTTAATATTCTCCATTTTTCATTTAACTTTATGTATTTTGTCTAAAAACGATAGTAACATTATAAATTTAATATGCCTGAAAACTAGAGACTGCAATTTTTAAAATGCAATTTTTTCGAACCATTTTGCTGTCGTCATTTTTGCGGAAATTATAGCCTGTTGAATTCTGCATGTTTTAATGTAAGGAAAAATGCATGTGATCTACTTAAATGTATCACTACCTATATCACTACTTGTTCTATCATTACTTCAAATCTATCACTACCTCGTACGGTGATGTGTACGGTGGCGGCTCGTAGCGGAGACTTCGGAACTAAATATCAACAGAAATAACGGGTCTAAGGTATTATTAGACCCGTTATTTCTGTCGACTTTTAGTTCCGAAGTCTCCGCTACGAGCCGTCATCGTACACATTGACCATTCAGGTAGTGATAAAGGGTCGGATAGGCTCAGCACCTAGACCCGTACACTTTTTTGTACACCCTATATTTCTAATAAAAAAAAAAAAATCAGGTAGTGATAGATATATTTTCAACGGATCAAATTTTCTTTTATATTAAAACATATGTGAAACTTAATAAGTTACAATTTTCGCAAAAATGACAATAGCGAAGTGATTCAAAAAGCATTTTAAAGATTGAAGTCTACTTTTTAGGCATATTAAATTCATAATGCTACTATCGTTTTTATACAAAATACATGAAGTTAAATGAAAAATGGCAACTATTCAAATTCAATCGCATTTTTCAATCAAGTTTTTACACTATAAAATAATGTTTTATAAAAAATACGATAAGTATGTCTTAAAAAAGGAATTTTTAACTTTTTATTCATTACTGAGTGAATGTTGTACACCGTTTTGTTCGGTTGTTGTAAATGATCAAAGTCAAAGTGCCATTTTCACTTTAACATTAAATAAATCAATGAAAAAAATCACATCGCAATTCTCATGTATAATTCAACAAACTTCATTAGACATTTCTGCACTAGACAGACTTATATTTATGTAATATATCGCAAAAAGTTATTATATCTTATATTTAATATTATATTTAAAAACTAGAGATTTCAATCTACAAAATGAGTCTCAGATTATGCCGCTTGCAATAATACTTATATAAAGTGCACATATGTCGACGTGAAATCGTCAAGATTGCTTTTGAAATTCCTTTATTAAAATCTCCAATCTAAAAACAACGTAGAGATAATATATATATATATATATATATATATATATATATATATATATATATATATATATATATATATATATA